AAATATTAAATTGTATAGTCACTGTTCCGTCACATAGGAGTACATTGATTCAACTCAAAATTCTTCTGTCTGGTTTCCCTTTCTCTCTGTCAATCACTAACATGACTTCTGGCACTGAAGCTTTGCCTTTTCTAAATGGCATACGGATGAAAACTGGTAGGTTCCTGGGTCTAGACTTTTCCCTCTGCCTCTTGGAATAATACTATTAAGATTGGTCCATATTGTTTTAATCAGTGTATCATCCCTTAGGAATATTGCGTTGTGTGTACATATGACAGGTTATTTCTGTCGGTCTGAATCTATCATGACTTAAGCTGCTATTAAAAAGTCTTAGTGTGGGTAGGAATATGTTTAGGACTAGCAAGATTGTGCAGTAGGTAAAGGTGCTTGCTACCAAGCCTGATGACCTGAGTTTGATAACAGGGATCTATATTGTGGTATTCGAGAACCATCTGCCTCAAGTTGTTCTTTAACCTACACACACACACACACACACACACACACACACACTGGCATAAGTGTGCATACACACATGGTGCATACACACATTGTGTGTGTGTGTGTGTGTGTGTGTGTGTGTGTGTGTGTGTAGAATTTAAAGAAAGATCTTTCTTGGATTAATAACTTAGTCCATTGCTGGGTGGAATATAAGTATGTGTTTGCTATTACAGGAACTTCTAGCCTAGTTTGGAAATTTTGATTTGCCTTTCACATGACATCAGCAGTACGTCCATGTTTACTTTATATTCTGGCCAACACTCTTTACTATTAGTCTTTAATTTTTCTGTTCTAGTGGGCATTTATTTATATGCCTTTAAGATTGACTTTTTTTTAATGTTGTATGTGTATGCAGGTACCCCCAAAGGCCAGAAGAGGGAATCAGATTCCCTGGAGCGGGAGTTACAATTAGTTATGAGCTGCCTTACATAGGCTTCCTCTGGAAGAGCAGCAGGCACCCCTAACCACAGAGCAGTCTCTCCAGCCTCTTTGTTAATGTTTTTCTGTTGAACTGACATTGCTAGGAATGCTTTCTCATGCATATATTGTGTTCATGCTGTTTTTTGGTTTTTCAAGATGGGGTGTTACTGTGTTGTATGACCCTGGTTGTCCTAGATCTCACTCGGTAGACCAGGCTGGCCTTGAACTCACAGAGATCTGCCTGCCTCTGCCTCCTGAGTGCTGGGATTACATGTGTGCCAACACCACTACCTAGTTTTTCTATTAGTGTTCTGATCATTTATTTTAGTAAATGTCACATTTTACCAAGTTGCTTTCCCCTTTTGGTATTCCTCAGTTTGTGAGTTTTGTAGACAAAATTGAATTTTTAAATTATTTATTTTTGAGACTATAATGTATTTATATCATTCCCCCTTTCCTTCCTCCATCAATTGCTGTTATGTATATATCTTTTCTTTTGCAATGCCATGATAACCTTTTGTTCTTGGATTTAACCCACTGTTGGCACTATGTTTATCTTACACATGTATTGCCTAAGTCAGGGTATCAAAACTTTTGCTCCTGACTCTTCTTCACCATTGTCCCTAACTAAGAGTGATTGATTATTGTTGTTCGGTTTTTAACTGGTTTTGATATCAGTAATGCTGGGCCCAGAAAATAAGCTGTGTAGTTTATCTGTTTCCTGAAAGAGATTGTGTAAAATTTGTATTATCTCTTCTGAAGCATTCATGGGATTCACTAGGAAACCTCTCGGCCTGGGGTTCCCTTTAAAGCAAAGTTTTTTGTTTTTGTTTTTGTTTTTTTTGGGGGGGGGTTTTGGTTTGTTTTTTCGAAACAGGGTTTCTCTGTGTAGCCCTGGCTGTCCTGGAACTCATTCTGTAGACCAGGCTGGCCTTCAACTCACAGAGATCCACCAGCCTCTGCCTCTTGAGTGCTGGAATTAAAGGTGGGCACCACCACCACCCGACTAAAGGAAAGTTTTAAACTATGAATATTCGAGTTATTTATGTCATCATGCATAAATTAGATTTAATGAATTTTACACATAATGTTGACAATAATCCTTTATTATCCTCCCAGTGTCTGTAATCTGTGGTTTCCCTCTTGGATTCCTGGTACTAGTAGGTAGCTAGTAATCCTTCTCATCTGGGCAGTTAGGGTTTTGCTGATACTATTGCCCAGCTTTTCTGATTGTTGAAACTAGCTGTTTTTCTGCTCTATGAAACACTGAGTGCTGTCTATTTCCATTTTTACTTGCTGGTTTTGGATTTATGTGCTGTTTACTGATTGTTTTCTCCCTTTTATTGAAAGTAAACTTTTTTTCCTCATATAATATACTCTAATTATAGTTTCTCCTCCCTCTACTCCTGCTAGCTCCTCCTCCCCTCCAGATCCATCCCCTTCCTGTCTTATTAGAAAACAAACAGGCTTCTACAGGATAATAATAAAATAAGACAAAATAAGATAAAATAAATACTAACACATCAGAATAGAACAAAACAAATAAACAGAAGAAAAAGAGCCCAAGAAAAGGCAGAAGAAATAGATATAGATGCATAAAAACATTAAACTGGAAACCATAATGCATACCTAAATGATCTGTAGGGTAAACAGAGAAAAAATGCATAAAACAAAATAAAAATAACAAATTCTTTAAAAAAAAAAAGGGGGAAAATCCGTGACACACCATTATGAGACAAGGAAAACCCCCAAAGTTGCCCTTGACTTCATTTTCTGTTTTCCATCTACTACTGGACATGCAGTAGATTAGTTTGTTTCCCTAGTGAGACTCTCTTATAGGAAACCAGATTTTCATTTGCAAGTGGTTATCAATTGGAGATTGCTTCTGGGATGGGGGCATATGTCCATTTCTTCATTTAGCTCTAGTGCAGGCCCTGTGCAAGCTGCCTCAGTCTCTATGAGTTCTTTTGTATGCCAGCCCTGTTGTATCTAGAAGGCCTAGATTCCTTGGTGTCCTCCATCCCCTCTAACTCGTATGCTCTTTGCTCCTCCTCTTGTGCAGAGTTCTCTGAGCCCTTAGGGGAGGGATTTGATCAGATATCCCATTTAGGAATGAGTGTCATAAGGTCTCGTATCTCTGCACATTATCTGGCTGTGGATCTCTGTGTGTCTTAGTTGGGGTTTCTAGTGCTGTGATGAGATACCATGACCATGGCAACTCTTACAAAAGGAAACATTTAATTGGGTGGCAGCTTATAGTTCAGAGGTTCAGTCCATTGTCGTCATGGCGGGAAACCTGGCAGTGTGCAGGCAGGCAGAATGCTGGTTACATCTTGATCAGAAGGCAACAGGAATTTGTTCTGTAACACTGAGGGATGCTTAAGCAAAAGACATCTCAAAGCCTGCCCCCACGGTGACACACTTCCTTTAACAAGGCCACATCTCCCAATAGTGCCTGTGAGCTCATGGGGGCCAATTACATTCAAACTGCCATACTGTATTTGTTCCCATTTGCTGCAGGAGGAAGTCCCTCTGATGATGGCTGTATAAGGCAGCATTCTTATGAGTATACCAAGGTCATTAGGAACTATTTTATTGTTCTTTTTTTTTTTGTAGACCAATAATAATATTTGGTTTTATCCAAGGTCCCTGGGCTGTCTAGTCTCAGCTTCTTGGTCACCTCAGCAGTGCCAGGTATAGGCTCCATTTCGTGGAGCGTGCCTTCAGTCAAATCAGATGTTGGTTGGTTATTCCCACAAACTTTGTGCCACCATTGCACTAGCATGTCTTACAGGCAAGAAATCATTATAGATCCCGGGTTTTGTGGCTGGGTTGGTGTTTATTTATCTTTCTCCTGGGACTTCTTTAGTGAAGGCATTTTAAAGTGTTAAATTTTTGTTCTAAGCAATGCATTAGTGATACCAGCAAATTTTTATATGGAAGCTTAAATTTGTATTCAGTTCAACATATTTTCTTTAATATTTCTTGTAGGAGCTGTGAGTTACTTAGTGGTGTTTTCTTTTTTTAGTAGTGTTTTCTTTGCAAAAACTTTTTTTTTTCCTTTTTTAAGATGTGGGGTCCAGGCTTTTGATTTGGGTTTCTGGTTTAATAGTGTGAAGTTTTAAAGCTGTTACATATGCAGCTTATCTTATGTATTAGAGCCCAGAAGATTTATTTTATTTTGAGTTATTTTGTGTGTCACCATATGAACATTCCAAGTAGAATGTGCCCTGCTGCACGTTCTGTGTGTTAGGTCGGACTGTTGGATGTCTCTGAAGTTTTCTAGATCCTTGTATCTATCTACTTGTTCTGTTAGGTACTGAGAACAGACTGTTGAAATGTTTAATGTTAATTTAAAAACACATATTTCTTAAACATCAATGTAAGTAGGAGGTTGTAATGATAAGGTAGTTAAGCAGTGTGTCTTAAGTGATAGAGTGTGTTTGCATTTCCAAGCCTTGCACACTTACTCTGGGTGCCATTCCTGCTGTGTTTTATCCTTCTGAACCTGCTGTCTTTGGTTTAATAGATGTGATAACAAACTTCCTGTAGCTATTATGACCATTTGATGAGAAAATGAGTCAAGAATTCTTTTTGGTTTTTCAAGACAGGGTTTCTCTCTATAGCCCTGGCTGTCCTGGAACTCTGTAAGCCAGGCAAGTGCTGAATTCTTAACATCGTATCTGGTGTATAGTTGTTCTTAAATGGGGACTGTTTTGTATTTTTAAAATTATCAAATTTTGTATGCTTTTCAAAACTTAAGTTGTGGCGACAAATATTTGGTTTTAGTATTCTTTCTTTGTATTTGTTATTTTTTTTAAACCCATGATCTGTACTGTGGCTTGCCTTTTGTGAGTCTTTTCTCATTGCTTTTGTATGACAATATTGCTGAAAATCTTCTTAGAGCTTTTAGTTCAATGTAGATTGCCTTGTTTATGCCACAGTAGAGTTTGTTTTCTTTTTTGACATAATTTTATCTACCTTGCAATAAAATACTAACAGTCAGAGGGTGTAAACAATGCAAACTTTCTGGAGCTACAAAGTTACCATATTGTCTGACACAAATTGTTTTTCTCTTCCAGATCAACCGAGAAAGCTGGTGTACCATAGAGCCATGCCCTGAAGCAACATCTCTTTTGACTTCCAAACAGAGCTCAGGTAGGCCTGTTCATAGTCCTTCTCTAGAAGAAATAATTTGATGTTGTGATCTGCCCTTCCAGGGTACATTACACAGCAAACTAGAAGAAGACATATAAATGTATAGTGTAGTTTTGTAAGCATGGTTTCCCAGTTGAAATAAAAGCACTAAAGGTTTCCTTAATTTTATTTTTGAAATCATTAGTAATTTTAGTGATTATGTGACTTTATGAGTTGTTACTCATTTGTAAAGCAATGTGGTGGTATATAATTATAAACATGTTTTGCTGGGAACCAACCTATGGATCTTAATTTTAGCTGTGTTGATGCAAAAACAAAAGAAACCGTAGCTCTTGCCTCAATGGGAGTAAGAGATAGTTTATTCTAGAGCCAAATTTGAGTGACCATACCCCAGGAACACAGACAGGTTACCCCAAATTCCATGTTCCAGTGTAGAAGCACTTTCATTAAAGAAGTTTTTATATCAATAAAACATAGAAGCCATAAATCAAAATACCTTTTTAAATACATTGGTGGAAACATCAGAGAGGTGGCTATAGCAAGATGAGTGATGCTCTGCTTTCAGCCTCAAATGCCATCTGATCATATTTTTAGCTGTGGGTTTGGTGGAACGTGGTGGTCTGCTATGTTTATAGATTCCAAAAGGTTTTTTCATCTGTTAGTCATAGGATATTAGTTCCAATGTAGAGGTGGACAGGGAATAGCTATTCTGGGGGCTAAAGCTAGTCAAGATAAGGTACTTAATCTCTAAACCCACAACATTCCAGCTTTTCCCCATCACAGCAATCATAATCAATCTGTCTTTGCAGACATAGCTTCTTTCCAGGAAATCTCATTGACAGAGACATACTGGTGTCATATGGGCAGGAGAGCTTTGAAAATGCATGATACCTTGGTCCTGCCCTTAGCAATTCAGATTTATTAGGCTGGGATATGTCCTCGGCATCCACTAGAATCCTTTTTAGGCTCCTTCTGTTTTCTTGAGTAGGCAGAATTGACAATTCATACCCATACATTTTAGCAACAACAAATAGAATGAAGATCATGCCTCGTTAGGAATTCTAACTTTACCCCAGGTTCAACCAGTTCTGCCATGAGATTCATTCCCCAATATCTAGGTTCCATTGTCTTTCATCTGTGAGGTATTACTAGGCTGCCTCCTAGAGTACTGTTGCACAAACAACAGTTGAGTAACTGTCTCTGAGCTCACTCCTGTGTTGGCTTCAGCACTGCCGAATGATGAGTAACACTTTGTAGTTTTAAGTTCTCCAGTCTCCTCCTCCAACAAAGCCTCTATTTACTGTTCAAGTTTTTACTAATCTGCTTTAGAAATCATCGATGTTTTCTTCTGTATTTTTCACACTTCTTGGGGTGCTATTTTGGAATATTCTATATGGTTTTATGTAGGGCCTACAAATTCAGTTCAAGGGTGTTGGAAGTAAAAGTATACCAGCACCTATGTTTTGGTTCCTTTAGCTGTCAGGGACTTTTCTGAAAGTGTAACCAGCCACCCAAGACTGAAACTTCTGCCATGTGATTGTTGAGTAAAGTCTTGGGATTTGAATATTAGTAATACGGAAGGACCTCTAGACATCATGGCTCAGTCTACTTCTTTAAGGAACTGGATTTAAGTTGCAGTCTTTGTCAGGTCATAATCCATAATCGTGAATTGTTAAAACACCCCTTTACAGTATAACTCCCAGAATAAGCTTTAGTCATACTTTAAGCTTTAATGAAACCTGAACTTCATTTAGGCATGTGTATCACATACCTGCAGTGTGCTCCATCCATGCCAAATGTCTAGTTAGTACACTTCTAATTTGCTGTTAACTGTCAGTGTGACTCTTTGGGGATGTACTAGTCATCCATTTTTATTGGTATAGAAGTAAAGACCTACAGGGGTAAATTGCATGGGATTTTTCTTTTAAACAAGATCCATCTAAACATTCTAAAATTGGTGTTCTTTGCTCTTGTTTCCACTTCATACTTTAATGTATTCCATAAAGGCGGTGTAGGGAGAAAGTAAGGATTCTGTTTCTTTTGAAAATATCCCAGCATATGTGACATGGGGTGGGCATTAAGTTTGCCTTTAGGGATCTCTACCCCAGAGAAGGTCACGGTGGAGCTGTAATGATTTATGGTTGTTCTTCTACTGCTTTTCCCCCTCCATATTGTTCTTTCCTACAAACAGCTAATTTAACCTCACACATTAACCTCTTATCCCAAACTTGGCTTGAAACCTTATGCTAGCTTGGCTTTATTTTATTTTATTGGGTGAGGTACTCCTACCAGATGTGAATCTGTGGATTTTTTTTTCATGAAAATATATTCTGTGGGTTTTCTTTTCTCAGCTGACATTTAAACATTGTCTTATATGATTGTCAGGTAGCCCTCTAGCAGCTCAACATAGCTGAGGTGTTGCTGTGACAACAGTTTCTTTCCTTAGCACCCCCATTTCCCTATGGAGGGTTTTTTTGGTGTTTTCCAGGTAGCAAAAGAGGCAGGAATAGAAATACCACAAACTTACCAACTGTACTAAGTTATTGCATACTGTGTAAAATGGTGTGGGGGCTAAAATACCTATAAGTAAGGTCTTTTGGAGAAACCATACTATTTCCATTGAACTTTACCATTATGAAATTATCCACAAAGCTCATAATTGTAACTCATAGGTACTGCCTCCTTATTATGGTACTCTTCATATAATTCTGCAATGAAATTGTCTCTTACTGTGTTCATTTGTGCCACAAGACTGTGAATAGCCCATTCTGCAAGAACAAATTAAACGTCTTCCCAGAACCTAGCCAAATGCCTAACAGAAAAGGGAACTATGTCAATTAATATACCTGAAAGCTACTAATTAGACAGTGACCTTTCTAACTTTGTGAATATCTGAAATGGAAGAAAGGCTGGGAGAGCAAAGAGGTGGGTGAACAATAGAGAACATGACTAAGTATTGGTATGAAACAGAAAGTGGATTTTTAAAAAATTGGTTAAATAAATGTTCTTTTTCAGAATGTGAAAGCTTCTTAGATGTTGGACTGAGCACGGAGTGTGCATCAAAAGAAGGTGTGCTTCAGAGAGGGTCGGGGAGTGATTCGGACCTCTTTCACTCACCCAGCGACGAAATGGACAGCATCATCTTCTCAAAGGTATTAGAGGAGCCTTCCATTCATTTTGACCAACAGTTCTTCTACTCTCATTTGGCCTTACTGAAGCCCTTTTTCTGTGATTTTCCCCTTGTTCTCATTGCCTTCCCAAGACTTTAATGTTTGACTCTAGCTAATGAATTGTGATCCATGTAGGCCATGTATTCTGAGTGACTGTGGGGGATTTATTTTGTTTTGCCTACCTGCTTTCTTCTCTCCCTCCCTTCTCTTTCTAAGCTGAAACAAACAGCCTGGCTGGATCACTCACAAAGGAGTGTAAATATTTTGTTTAAAGAAGGAAAAAATCCATACTGCCAGTGCTTAGAAACAGGCCTTGGGCAGATTTATTAGATTTATCTTCTAAAAAATCATGGGTGGTTACATGAGTGGTTTGAAGCTTGCATTGAAGTCAGAAGGCATGGGAGTTCCTTTAGAATGAACTAAGTCAGATGACAGTGAACACCCTTTAGTGGTTAGGAAGGGACCGCAGCTCAGACTGTATGATGTCATATATATAAACTAACCATAGAGTCATTCTGATTAATGTGTGGATACCTGAAACTCACTGCTAAGTTTGGTGACATCATCCTTCATCCAGACTGCTTAATTGGAACTTTCTAGATCTACAGTAGAAGCTTTCTCTCTAATGAAGAGCTGGGGAAGATGGAGGTTGGAGCTTGGGATTGTTTCTGTGTACAGCAAGTTCTGTTTTGTCCTCTAAGAGGCCATTCCCACAGCAGAGAGGGCAGGACATGCTGTACTCAATTACATGCCACAAGTGGTTTTCCTAATAATAAGGACTGAAGGGGCAAAACCACTGTAGCAGCTATGAAAAAGAGTCTTCCTTCTGGGTTTGTGACTTTGAAGAAGTTCTGAGAGCAGTTTTGTTAGTAGGTGATTAAGCAGTTCAAGACAATGTGGTGTTCCTGTGTTTAACTGTTATGGTACAGGAACAAGATCATATAATTCAAGAGTTCTGCTCTTTTCATTTTTGTCCATCAGTGAGTGCTCACATTCCAATTGTTCTTCCCTAACCCTCCATTTCTACGCTGTTCCTTTGATTGTCTTCTGAAGGCAAGGAAAGATACATGATACGACTTTAGGATTTCTGTCTTGTCATTTGCTGGCCAGGTTGGTGGTGCATGCTGTAATCGCAGCACTCAGGAGGTTGAGGTAGCAGGCTTGTGAACTTGATTTAGCCCAGTCTTGAGGGGCTTAGGGGAAGATTTGCCTTTGAAATCAAATAGGAAGAGGAAAGGTTTTTTGCCTGCCTGGCTGGCTGGCCTCTGCCTTCCCTCCCTCTCTTCATTTTCTCCCTATGCTCTTAGCAATTGCATTTTTTTTTTTAATTACAGTTTTGGGAGAGGAGGGATATGTGCTTCAGTGCTCTTGTAGAACTCAGGATAAAAATTCTGTCTTTCAAATTGGCTCATAATGACTGGAACTGAGTAATGAATACTTAAGATATTATCAAACGATTATGTATGCTTGTGTGTTCTGATAGTAAGAGGGTAGTGGTTTTGTTTTGGTTTTGGTTTTTGGGTTTTTTTTAAGTATTTTTTTAAGATTTATTTCTTTATTGTGTATATACTATTGTGTATATACTATACCAGAAGAAGGCCCCAGATCTCATTTCAGATGGTTGTGGGCCACCATGTGGTTGCTGGGAATTGAACTCAGGACCTCTGGAAGAGCAGCCAGTGCTCTTAACCTCTGAGCCAACTCTCCAGCCCTGTTTTTGTTTTTTGTTTTTTTTTTTTTAAGATTTATTTTTATATCTAAGTGTGTTAGGAGTATGGCTCATGGAGGCCAGAAGCAGGCATTGGATTCCCTGGTTCTGGAGTTAGGAATTGTATAAGCTGTCCAATATGAATTCTGGGAACTGAACTTAAGTTCTTTGGAAGAGCAGCAAATGATCATTAATGCTGATCTCTCTAGCTTAAGTTATGTTTTTTAAGTTGAATAATCTTCCTTCAGGAAATACTTGTTTACGTACCTCAATTGTATATAACATGTAGACAGTTCCTAGTGTTACCCTCTCCTTGGAGAGATAATTATTTCTGATCACTGAATTGCATGGTTTGCTTACCTTAAAAAAAAAAAATCAGAATTTTCTGTACTTTAACATCTTATTCAAGCTATTAAAAGCTTGCAGGAGATATTCATATAAAGAACCTTTGCTAGATACTTCACATTTTTCCTGGGGAGAGTAGACAATATTTATTTTTAAAGCTGAAACATGTACCTCAGACAAACTTCTTACCTACATTGTAAACTGGAGTGCCTAGAGAAACTTCCAAAGCTATGAGTGACTGGAGTCTTTAGAATAACTAATTTTCCTAGCATTTATAAAATGAAGGGCTAGTTAATAGTAATTGACAAGGCATTGACCAGAGATATATAATTTCATTGGTCCAGCAACCAGGTAGGTAGCTTTGTCTCTTATACCATATAGGGAATAGGTTTTGGTTGGTATGTACTGGCTAGTTTTATGTCAACTTGACCCAGTCATTTGAGAAGAGAGAATCTCAATTTAGAAAATGTCCCCTACCAGGTTGGCCTGTGGCCAAGCCTCTGCTGCATTTTCTTGATTGTTGATTGATGAGGGAGGGCCTGGTTCACTGTCAGTGGTGCCACCCATGGACGACTGGTCCTGGGTTCTATAAGAAAGTAGGTTGAGCAAGCAGTGAGGACCAAGGCCTGGAAGCAGCACCCCTCCATAGTCTATGTATCAGCTTCTATCTCCAGGTTCCTGCCCTGTTTTGAGTTTCTGCCTTGACTCCCTCTGTGTTGGATGTCATGTGGAACTATAGGTGAGATAAACCCTTTCTTCCCCAAGTTGCTTTTGGTCATGGTGTTCTATCACAGCTATAGAAACCCTAAGACAATTGGTAAAGAGGTTTGCCTAAAACAACTAAGTAACAGAATTGAGACTTGACTGTAAGGTTTCTTCCCGATTTGTTGCTCTGTTTTCAGTCTTTTCAATGTGGCTCTAAAACCCAGTGATTTAAGTCACTATGTTGGTAGATTAAACCATCAACTGCTCTCTTAAAGTCATTCCACTCTGGCCATTGTTGCAGTATGTGCTGTGCAATGACACATTCTCACTGTGTCTTCCCAGGGCCTTTCCCTCCTCTCTTTCAGTCTTTTGGGGGGTTGGAGAGAGACTTGAGGCAAACCATTGCAACATGCTTTTCTGTGAACTCTGAGTGGTACATTAGGTCACTTCCTGCAGCCATTTGTTTATCTCTAACCCTTAGGAAGTCTCTTTAACAACGTGTACCTCCTGGGAAATGTGACTCTTTGGTGAGTGTTAAGAGTTTCATGTTTATTCTTACAAACATTTGTTGGTTCTTAAGGTCAATTTTAGATCAGCAGCCTAAAACTTATACTTTGTTTTTAAAGTGAGATGATTATTTTTGGCACTAGCTCGGAAAATATAGTTGGTGTACATCACTCTGATCTGAAACTTAAGATTCTTAGAATACTCTGTATTAAAAGATTATGTGATTTGGGGCATGTGATGAGTGTCTAAAAGTGAGCTGTTGTTTTTCAAGATAGTATATCTTATGTGTAAAATAAATAATAAGTACTTGTTGAATAAATGAAGGGCTGTTTGTTTAACAGTACTAAACATGATTGCTTCAGGTGTAGTATCAATATATAAAATGTGTTTTTGTCTGTCTTGTGTTTAGTTTATCTTTCTGTAGGTACAAACATAGATTTTATAACTTTCTAAGAGTTTTGGGCATTTCCCCCAAAATAATGTATTATAAAACCCAGAAAAAAATATAGAGCTGTTGAATCTTACAGGGAGCACCATATACTTACCTTCCAGCTTCTGTTTGTTTACTTATTACATAGCTGCGATTCTGTTCATTACCAGTCTGCCTAAAACTGATGGTACATTTCAAAACAAATTGCAGGTTGTCAGAATGTGTCAAAGAATTTACCCATACACATCATGGATAAATTCTTAGAAGCAGTATTTTTCTATAGTTGTGAGATTGGGGGTGTGCATTTTACACACACACACGTCCTCAGGATCCAGTTGCTTTTGCTAATTACATCCTTCACCTTTGTAACCTGGAGCAGCTGCACAGACACATATGCTGTAAACCTAACTATGGAAAGGCTCCTCAAAACCCTCCAGAAGAAACACAAAAGATGTTTTTTCTCTGATTCACAGAAATGGGATCTGAAGAACATTGTCCTCCTGTACAGCCCTAGGGGTGGAATTCTTAGTCATACAAAAAAACTGGCCATCTTGCTAGTGTTCTCACTCGTGATGCATGAGAATCCCAGTCACTACATCCTTAGTAACAAACACAGTTGTTATAATTTTAGCATTTCTGGTATCCATGCAGTGTTATCTCATTATGGTTTTGATTTGTATTTCCTGACAACTAGTGATATTAAACAGATTTTCACATGTCCATTGGCAACTCATGTCTTCCTGTATAGAGTGTCTGTTCATATCTTTGCCCATTAGAATAATTGGATTATTTGTTGTTACAGATGGGTGGATGATATATATCCTGGATACTGCTCCTTTGTTAGATTCATGATTTGCAAATATTTTCTCTTTTATCACTTGACTATTCACTTATGTTTTGGTTAGCTAAAATTTCTAATTTGATGGGGCATAATTTGACAGACTCTTTTATGTCTTCCCCTGTTGGCTTTTCTGTGCCTGTGTTGATGTTTTGTTTTAAAGATTTATAGTTTTGGCTTTTATTTTCAGAATTAAGATATATCTCAGTATTATATTTGAATTTTAACAATCGGTCTGTGATTTATTCAGGGTGATTCAGACCTACTTGCTTTTAGAATCATGTGAAGAGCTTAAAAGGTGGAGTGGCAGCACCTGGCTCTGCCAGCTGACCAGCAAAATTAGAGTCCTGGGTTGTTTTCTCACCTCTACAAAGGAGCTGAGAGTATTTGCTAAATAAAATAATGGGAAAGATTAAAAGGGATAACATATCTAAATCACTAATGAACCCTCACAAGAAAGACATACTGTCAAAAACTACCAAGGAACTCATGAAAATTTAAAAATAAAAAATAAAACCTCACATGAGATAAGTACCTAATAATTATGGATCGAATTTATATCACAGTTGCTTAATAGTAGTAATAGTTTCTAAGATTTTAAATGTATAATGTCATTTTATTTAGGCCTTTCCATTAAGTTAAGCAAAACTGTCTGTTGACCATTTTATGACCCAGCTACTGCCCTCAGATAGAGCTGTCTATTTAGGGTCATTGCATGTACAGAGCAGCCACACTAATGCCTGTTTACTGTGTAGAGTACTCATAGGGACTTTAGCTACCCTGATGTTTGCCTTTGCAAATTCTCAGTATTATACAAAGTCTAAGGAAATAATTGTGGTAGACATGTGTGCATGTATGTATGTGTATATTTCCAGTCCTGCATTCAGGAGAAAAAAATGAGCATAAAAACTCAAGGAAGAAATGATTTATTGGTCAGCCTCAGGTGTAGCTCAATTCTCCAACGTTTTTCCTTTTTAATATGCATATCTGCTCCCTCTCACTCCCACCTCTTATGTTTACTTTTTCAGTCTCTTTGATGCAGGGGGTGGGGAGAAGGGCTTGAATTATGTTAAGACCCTAGATAACTAGTTTTTATTCCACATAAGTCAAATATTATGAATTGATGCCATGGTACCATTCCTCTAGACCAGTGGTTCTAAACCTTCGTAATGCTTCGACCCTTTAATACAGTTCCTCATCTAACCCCCAATCATAAAATGATTTTGTTGCTACTTTATTACTCTAATTTTGCTACTACTATGAGTTGTAATGTAAATACCTGATATGCAGGATATCTGATATGCAACCTCTGTGAAAGTATCATTCAACACCCAAAGGGGTTGCAACCCACAGGTTGAGAACTGCTACTTTTGGCAAATATTTTGGGATCCATGATCTCTTTAAAGAACAACTAACAGCCGGGTGTTGGTGGCGCACTCCTTTAATCCCAGCACCCGGGAGGCAGAGGCAGGCGGATCTCTGTGAGTTCGAGGCCAGCCTGGTCTCCAGAACGAGTGCCAGGATAGGTTCCAAAGCTACACAAGAAAACCCTTTCTCAAATGCCCCCCCAAAAAAAAAAACAACTAACATACTAAAGAGCTCTTAAGGATAACTTCAGATTTTAGACTTGAAACATCTTGTTAAAGGTTAAAAGCGATAACTTTCTCGCTTCTAATATACAAGTAGAAATACATTGGGGATGAGGTATAGTAAATAGTGAAAGTAATAGTTTTTACATCTTATATATATTGCTGTACTGAGTAGATCTAGAGACTAGAATTTTCTTTTGAAAAGAATTCAAATTCCTAAAAATCTTTAATTTCTTCTACTGTGTATCATCTATGATTTAGGCAGTGCTTTTCCATAAGCCTTAAACTAACGCTTTTGACCAGGCAGTGGTGGCGCATGCCTTTAATCCCAGCACTTGAGAGACAGAGTCAGGAGGATCTCTCTGTGTGTTCAAGGCCAGCCTGGTCCACAGAGCTAGTTCCAGGACAGCTAGAGATGTTAAACAGAGAAACCCTGTCTCAAAAAACTTCACAGATCCAAAAAGACGATGAATTTATGTCTTGAATAATAGAGAGGATATGTCCTCATGCCAGCACCCAGGAGGCTTAGGTCAGAGGATCTGGAACTCAAGGTCAGGCTTGGGTACCACAGGGAGATCCTGTCTTAAGACAAAGAGGAGGTGGCATTCTTATTAGATAGAATGGAATGGCTAAATGTCGTGCATCTGTTAGAGTAAATATGACTACTGTAGAAAATACATAATAATATATGAAGCTGACTTCTGGTTAGGGTACTCACAATTTTCTCTGTTCTTTTTATTATTTTTTACATTTATTTACTTATTTATTTAGCATGTGGGTGTGCATGTCCATGCCATGGTGATTATGTAGAGGTGAGAGGAAAGCTTGGAGAGGCAGCTCTGAAGACCTGATGACTCAGGTCATTATTGGCCAGATGTGCCTTTGCCTGCTGAGCCATCCCACCATCCCACCTGAAATTTTCTGTATGACAGGGATAATAGAAGAGCATGGTAAAATTGGGAGCCTGTTTTAAAGGTTTCTTTCTCTTTTTTTTACTATTTTATTTAAATTAGAAACAAGATTGTTTTACATGTCAATCCCCATTCCCTCTCCTTCCCCTCCTCCCCTGCCCCCCACTAATACCCTACCTATCCCATACCCTTTCTGCTCCCCAGGGAGGGTGAGGCCTTCCATGAGTGACCTTCAGAGTTTGACATATTTTTTGGAATAGGGCCTAGGCCCTCCCTGGTGTATCTAGGCTGAGGGAGTATCCCTCTATGTGGAATGGGCTCCCAGAGTCCATTCCTAAGCTAGGAATAAGTACTGATCTACTACAAGAGGCCCCATAGATTTCCGAGGTCTTCTCACTGACACCCACCTTCATGGGGTCTGGATCAGTCCTATGCTGGTTTCCCAGCTATTTTCTTTCATGTCACCAAATGTCTTGATTAAGGGTGTACTACTTGATTAAGCAGTGGGTCATTCTGCATGCTTTCCCTGTTTCCTCCTGTTCCTTGTCCAGTGAAAAGCCAGAATAACCTTTTAGTCTTTTGTTGAATATGAAATGGAATTAATCTTTCCTTCACTCATCATATTGGGCACTGGATGTCTCTTAATACTAGAGAATGTCAAGCCACTGGGATAAGATTTGCATAACTCCTTTTAGGTACTAGAGTTTAGCCAGGAAAGGAACATTGTCACTTTATTAAACACCTACTAATCAGGATTATGTTAGGTGTTTTGGCTTCAGAACACTCAGCCGATTCCCTGTAAAGTGAGAAACAGTAGCATTCTTCTGTTTATGTTCTTGTGGCAGACGTTTAGTGGAATTAAAACTATTAGGCAGTTTTCATAAATAAGCAACAGTCATATTTGGATTTGGAATAGTAAATTCTCTATCTTATTGTAGCTATAGAGGATGGCTTGTTTCAGTGAGACCTTATAAAAACCTAGTATAATAAGAGCTTAGAGTTTCATATAGCCGAAACCTTTGATACTAATGGTTTTCTTCATTTTGGTTGATGATGGGTTGAAAGAACTAAACTAAGAGTTGTTTTTTCTCTATTAAAAAGAAAATTTAATGTGTCTTCCATATAGTCTAGTACCTTTAGTAAAATGACGAAGTTATATCTAGAACATTCCTCTATTGGAAGCCAGGGGACTTAAGAATCGAACTGCAGTCATGAATTTAAAAAAAAGAAAAAGATCAGCTTGCAGTCTGTTATGAAGCATTTGGCTTGGTCTGTCAGAACAGGGTTCTTGTTCTGTTGATTTCAACCCTGTGCGCTCTCTCTCTTACAGCCTGAGGAAGAGCAGTTGCTTTGTGATACCACAGGATCCAGTTCCTCTACAGATGACACAGCTTCGCTGGATCGACATTCTTCTCATGGCAGTGATGTGTCCCTTCCTCAGTCTTCAAAGTTAAATAGGTCAAGAAATCATCAAAGCTCCAATGGCTTTTTCAGCCATGGAGTGGGACCTGAGAGTCGGGAGAGTGAGAGTGAGCCTGCTGGCTCTGGTGAAATGGAAGAGGAGGAAATGGACAGCATCACTGAAGTGCCTGCAAATTGCTCTTTTCTGAGGAGCTCCATGCGATCTCTTTCCCCTTTCCGGAGACACAGCTGGGGTCCTGGGAAGAATGCAGCCAGCGAGGCAGAAATGAACCAGCGCAGGTAAGATGAGAGCTTGTATATTTCATGACTCACTATGTGTTCTCTTTTGAGAAGTATCTGGTAAAAAGTTTAAGGAGACACTGGTAGAGGAGAGGTAACCCAGACTTTGAAACCCTGGGCAGCCACTTGAGCAATGTAGGCTTTCCTTTCAATGTTTTTGTGGTAACACAAACTATTACTGTCACAGAGTGAATATTTAGTAAATGGTAAGTCCTATTGTTAACAGATTAGTCAATCAGTGAACTTCATGAATCTAGAAGGGAGAATTCTGTTAACTTTTCATTAATATGAAATCTTACCGTCTCAACACATCTAAGTGGTTTGGTGTTTTCCTGAGGATTACATCCATGTTTCTAATACAGAAATCTGATAATGTCTAAATTATCAATGTGTAATTCTCAAGAGGACCTCAAGACTCATGACATATACTAGTTGGCATTTTCATGTGTACCATAGTGTTTGGGGAATATTTACAAGTATTACCCAGCTTTCATCCTTCAGTTTGGCAGCAGCCTGTAAGAAGTTGGGTTGGCTTCTGACATCTGACTGTTGGAATTCTACAGACCAAATGCTGCAGCATCTAACAGGTTACCAGTGTGCTTGCCCAAGGGCTGTTTTACTTGCCTAAAGAGATGCTCTCAGCCAGGAAAAGAGGGTGCTGCTTGACTGAGTTTTGAAGTAGGGTCTTGCTAATCTAGCTGATATGGAACTCATTGTTTGGCACATGCTAGCTAGCCTTTAACTCTGGACAGTTCTCCCTAGCTTAGTCTTTGAGTTTCTGAGAATGCAGACAAGAGCTACCATACTCAGCTACTGACAGTTGATTTAAAACAATTGTTATAAATAACATAATCATTTGGGTTTTTTTTCTCTCTTCTCATTATATTATGGCTATAAGTACATGTAATCTTAATACAGTTGTCAGGGTTTTTGTTTTGTTTTGTTTTGTTTTGAGATGGAGTCTCTTGTAGCCAACGCTGGCCTGAGTGTCACTATGTAAGCTGGGCTTGGCCTCCTGATCTGCCTGCTTCCACTGTCCAAATGTTATGATAACAGGCATGCACCACCATATACCCAGATCTCCATTTTTTCTTTTCATATATATGAGTGCTTTACCTGAATATACATTTGTACCATGTGTGTGCATGGTGCCCAAGGAGGCCAGAAGAGGGTATCAAATCCTTTAAAACTAGAGTTACAGTTATGAGCCACAGTATGGGTGCTAGGAATCAAAACCAGGTCTTCTGGAAGAATAACTAGTGCTGTTAACTACTGAGCCATTTTCCTAGACCTTCATTTATTCTTTTAATCAGACAACACACATTGAGCATTCTTTTTATACTTGGCAGTATCCTAGGTTCTGGAGGAATAGTGGTAAACAAGATATTAATCCCCGCCCTTGCAGAACTCAGAATCAAACTCTGTACTTCATTGGCTTGCCAATTTTTTCAAACTCTTCATAGAAAATTGTCTTGACTTTGTTTTTTTAATCTTCTCCATGATTCGGGTGTTATTTTGAACATAGTTGAGGAGTAGAGGACTGTTGCACTTTACATCATCTGCAATAGAATCTAGGTTTCTAATCTCAGTCAAATCTTAGTACATTCCAGTATTATTTCATGGTTTTAGAGTAGCAGTCTAAAATAAGCAGTGCCTTATCTTGCTGTATTGTGTTTATAGCCCTTTGAAATCTCCGGTTATATAATTTCTAAATGCTTTTTCCCCAAGTTTTATAGATGCTTTTTCTTTTAAAACATTGATACAGACATCAGGAATCGTCTCCAGGTAGAAATTACTTCCTGAAGCCTGAGTAGCCTCATGATATGATGTCCTTGTCTTAGATGATAAAGGACTAATCAGGAAATTGGAATGTATTTTAGAAATACCATTTTTCTACATAACTCACTATAGATCTGTTTGTGGTAACTGATATCAGAGGTATATGTATTTGAATCATATAGATCAGATGAAGAAATTGAAGCCAGATTTGATGGCTCGCCCAAAGTTACATGGTGATCTTGGACTTCAGCCTGTATCATGCCTGTTTAAACTTAATGTAAAGGATTATCTAGTACTGTCTTAATGCCTCGAGATGCAATGGACTAGCAGTTAGGTTTAATCACTTTAATAATCTATTTTGTATAATATTACTTGTATATTTTATTATCTGAATTTTAAAGCCTGAAGGAAACCTCTTTTAATGTTTTGAATAGCACTTTTCTCTGATCCATTTATTTTCATTACTTATACTAATCTTCATAACTTGTCATCCAATTCACTCTCTGGAGTACAGAGGGAACAAAGGCTACCTTTTGTCAGGTATTTGGGGTTCTGATATTTTTGTCATTCCATTCTTTTGGTCTCTTCCCTCCTGTGCTGTTTGTCTTTGGGAAATATGTTTCTTCAAGGTGTGATCTCTGTGTTTCGTGCATTTGTGTATCATTGTGGTTCACCTCCATTATTGACCTCTTCCATCATTCATTTTCAGTTCAATGCAAGTTCTTGGGGATGTTGTCAGGAGACCTCCCATTCATAGGAGAAGGTACAGAGTTCACTAAATTGAACTAACCATGTCATCTCTGAGTGTGTACTAACAAGCATCTCATTCTGTTACAGTGACTGGACAATGTTTTTAAACATTTATGTCTGGCTCAGGAAAATAAAATATAGGTGCTTCTTGATTGCTATGTCCACGTGATAGAAAATAATTTCTTTAAAGTCCATTTCTAATTCTTAATTTATAATATACACCTCACTTACTGGCTCAAATGACTTTGAAATAGGGTCTCACCTGACTTTGTCTAGTTTTGTTTGCTTTTTGTTTGTTTTGTTTTCATGTTGTATCCTAGCTAATAGACCTGGGGGGATACTTTTTCTCTGTAACCATTAAAGAAAGAGAACAGCCAGGAATATATTTGTGTTCACTCAAGCGTAGGTTCTAAAATACTTTTGATACATTCTTGAATAATGTGAAGAAGGATTTTTTATTAGTTGGTCACCTGGTAATTGCTCTCCCATTGTTGACACTATTTTTAGAAAGCAGTCTGGCCTAAGCTTATACTGTTTTTTAATTGCTTAGTTATTTATCAAGTAAAAAGTGAAGCTAATATTCATAAACTAAGAACTAATTTCTAATTAAACATACTCAATTGCTTCATGTTTTCAAATTTTTTATTGTGTAAAGCTATTGACTTTTGTCCCATTGCCTAATAAAATCATTTAGATATCAGAAGTGTGATTCTTTTATTGTGTTTCTCATATAGAGAAACATTTGCAAAGATATTTTCATCTGTTTGCAGAATATTTGTGAGAAAGGCAAAATAGTAATCATCCTACTTTTTTTCCTATCATTTTCAAATGTATCTCCTTTAACTCCATATTTTAGAGGAAGTTTTGATCTTAAAGTCTAACATTTTCATGAACCTAAATGGTCATGATATCAGTTAGGTTCTTCATGTGAACAAATTATTAAATGCCTTTTTCAGCAGACCATATGTATAACTTTTAGAAATGTATTTGTTGCTGTCTCTGGATAAAGCTCCTCATTGGGAACTAACTGAAGCATGCACTAGATTACATGGTGAAGGATGACAAGTTGATGCCTGCAGCCCAAGCTGTACGCACCAGATTCATAACTTGAGTTTGCAATATATCCTAAGTTAAAAATACTCTTGTAGAAAGAACATGATTTCATAATTTCAAAATTTATAAAATTGAAACAGTCCAACAAGCATTAAAGAAGAAAGTTGTTCTCAAAAAACAAACAGATGAAGAAAACTGTACCTCCTAAATTTCAAAGCCCAAGAACCTTATGATTTTGGAGGCTCTCAGAAATGCACTTTAATTATGACAAGAGTCAGGGAAGGTTTAGACCGATTAGATCTTGCCAGATCCTGTGAGGCTTGTATAGTCTTTTCTTGTCCTGTTCTGCATCCTAAATGTGTTTCACAGCATCATCATAGTCTCAGAGTAAAGGAGATACTTAAAACTCTACAAAGAGATTATTCTTATCTTTAAGAATGATGATTTGTCAGTGTATATTGAGTTAATTGTTTTGTGATTTTTAATAAGAAATCAGAGCTGAGCATGGTGGCACACACCCAGGACTCAGGAGGCAGAGGGAGGAGGATCTCTGAATTCAAGGCCAGCCTGGTCTGCAGAGCGAGTTCTAGGACAGCAAGGGCTACACAGAGAATCCCTGTCTGGAAGAAAAAGAAGAAGGAGAAGGAGAAGGAGAAGGAAGGAGGAAGGAGGGGGGAGGAGGGAGGAGGGAAGAAGAAGGAAGAAGGAAGAAGGAAGAAAGAAGAAGAAGAAGAAGAAGAAGAAGAAGAAGAAGAAGAAGAAGAAGAAGAAGAAGAGAAAGAAGAAAGAAAGAAAAGAAAAGAAAGGAAGGAACTGAAAGGAGAAAGGAAGGGAATGAAATCAGAAAAAGGAAGGAAGGAGAGAAGAAGGAAATAAAATCAGATGCTCATGTATCCAATTGAAAGTTTAAAAATTAAGTTAGTAACTTTAAAGAATGGACTTCTGAGTCTTATAAATGTTTGTAAATTATGTTTCACTTCTGTTTATCCAAGTAAGTTTAAGTCAGTCTAATCCTTCTTCCCAGATGGGAGATGTCTCAAACTATGTATTTCTTTTTCCTTTTCTGGGCCTTATACTGTTATTTAGTCAGATCTGAAAACATTTATACCATTTAGAACAGCTGTAGAGGAAACTGTCCTGGCATCCCACCATTTTCCTCGTATCAAATCTCATCCACCAAGCAATGTTGTTGGAGGTCTTAGAGGTTTCGACCACTGAATGAGTGGTTTTGCTGTCCACAGCAGTGCTTTAACTATTGCCCATGAACTCTTCATTGTCTTTGTTATTGTTGTTTAAGACAGAAGTATAGCACTTAGAATTTTAAGGACCCCAAAGCAGTATTTTTTTAGATGACAGTACTTGTTAATCAAAAATTCTGACCTAGGACCATACCTTGGGGATGTGGCTCAAGTAACTAAACAAATAAGCAAACAAACAAATATCCTGACCTTTTGATACAGTTCTAGTCACAAAGTCCCTGTTTTGTAACTTGTTTTAACCTTTCCACCATAGATTTTCCTCCCCTGCTATATTGCATAAGATAAACAAGGAAGCTACTGCTCAAATGGATATTTATTTAATCTTGGGGGAAAATGAATATAAAATTAAAATTTTAAAGGCATTTCCATCTTAATACCATAAAACTCTAAGAAAAATAAATCTGCTTATCAGTTCAAAACTATTAAGAAAGGTATGGCCTTTATTGTAGTTGCCTCATTTTAAGCAGAAAGGCCTAATGGATAGCTTTTGAAGAAGAAATATGAATTGACTGTTAATATAAGATGTTGCCTTGCTTATCTGGTTCCTTAATAGGAACACATGGAGAAAATACTGATTTCTCAGTGAGGCCTCTGAGCTGTCTGTAGTGTTTCCTTTCAATTTAGGCCCAGAGTCAGGGATGTGGGAGCAGTGTTGAATACAGAGAGGTACTTGGCCACAACAGTGGAACACCTCTCTGGGAATATCTGCAGAAAAAGCCATGAGTGGGGTGCACTTTTTGCCAAGGGATTAGTAGAAGGAATTCTTGAGTTTCAATTGGAGTAGTTATCCCATAAAGAGCACACATGACCTTTCCCAGAACAGTGTCTGAATGGATATTAAATTCCTGTGGTCCTTTTTCTAGTCTTTTCCTAAATTCTCAGTGTTATATTCCTGTTTTTTTTTTCTTTAATAAATGATTACATGTCTATCTCTATGCCCTTTCTTTTTAAACTGAATAACCCAAAACTGTTTCCTCTTTTCTCCCTCCATTTCTTGTTTCTGCCTTTGATGTCATCTCCAGTATGAGCTGGTGTCCCTCTGGTGTGCAATACTCGGCTGCTCTGAATCCTGACTTTAATTTCAGAAGGTATAGTATTACATGTCCAGCCACCGAACTGAGAACTGTAAAGAAAGATGTCTGGCCTTCGGCTGTAGCTGGCTTCTCTGTGGCTGGGATGCATATGGGCAGCCTGTGATATCTGTGAGCATAACATTCTGCTGCCTTGGCTATGGATGCCACTAACCCAATTGCAGGAGTATGGCCGAGGAACAGTACCCACTGCTGCATCGTTTGTCTCAAGTAGCAATAAATGGCCGTGTTTTCTGCATGAACCTTGTTTCTACTCTGTAAGCACTTGCCTTTGTTTTGGTCTTTCCAAGTTCCCAGATTCTCAAGAAAACAATGAATCAAAACCACTAGGCCCTGGTTTCTATTATACTTTCAAGTCTTACATTTAAGTTCTGAATTTAGATGACTCATTATTTCATATTTGTTTTTGAGTTAAGCAGCCCGATTTAATTATTAAAACATTTTCAGGATAAGTTTTATAGTAAGCATAGATCAGGTTTTCTCAGGCTTTTCAGATAATTCACAGTGGAAAACTAAATTTCTTCACTTGGCTAAACTTCTTATGCCTGGTGTTAAAAATGGGTTCTACAAAGACATTTAATTGCAGTTTTTTATGGCTTCTATTGTCATATTGAAATAAGAACAACAAACTTTTTAGTAGTGTGCCCACTAGAGAAAATAGAGACATGTGGCTTCAGTTCATAAGTGATTTATGAAGAAAAGCCCTTCTGGGCTGGAATATGTGAACTTAGTTGTAGCAATTAACTGTACAGTTTCCCAGAACAGAAATAACTGTATAGCTTCAGTATACATCCAAATACAATTCCAGCTGATTAACTGAGAACACAACTACAGCTGTATTCTTCTAACAGAGAAGTTCTCTGTTAGAGAACCCTGTCCCACTGTAGGTACAGCAGATGTGTGTATTATTCTAGTTAGCAACTCCAAAGAGGGTAGACAGCTAGCCTTCCTCTTTAGCCTCTTACTCCTAGAAAGTAACCACAGAATCTGTGCCTGAGAACTCCCTCTTAAAACTCCACACCACTTGCTTTCTCAGTACTTACGCTCCTGTGTTTTGTGTGTCTGTCTGCAGCTGATGATTCTCACTAAGCCCTCATCAGGAACCGTCTGGCCAGCTGTGTATAGATGAGGCTGCTCATTAGTGAAACCAAGGTTTTCTGGGTAGACAAGTACCCAGAAAGCTGTCAACAAAAATTTAATTGAGTGTAAAGTTTTGTAATGGCCCACGTGATAAGCAGACAGCCATGTCACTCAATTTCCATTCTCAAAGCTCCTAATGCTTGTGCCTTGTGACATTTGACATCAGATGAGTTAGAGTCTGGAAAGATTACTTTGATTATATCGATGAAAACCCATACATGTATACAATGTGGGGTAAATTTGTCTGTGCATACAGTGTGCTGAAAAACAGAAAAAAAAAAATGGTATCTGGTTCAACATGCAGATATGTTGAACGAGGTAGGGAAGTAAATGTGTCTGGTGTCCTTTCTCAGCATCCAAGGCCACTAGGGGGGAACGTGAGTGGTGCTCATCTGCTCTGTGGCCTGCAGACATTTGAGTATGAGACAAAGGAATAATAATACAAGTTAGAGGAATTTTTGTTTCCTCCCATTCTGAGACCTGTGAGCAGTGAATGAACTCTTGTGCTCTGTGTTCAGTTTCAGCCTGGAAGGCTTGACAGGAGGAGCTGGTGTTGGAAATAAGCCATCCTCGTCTCTAGAAATGAGCTCTGCAAACTCCAGTGAGCTCAGAAACCCTTTCAGTGGTGAGGAACAGAGAGACTCTCTGATGTCACTTTCAGAAGAACATCTGGAGCCAGACCAGAGACAGCATCATAGGATGTTTGATCAACAGGTAAGGCTAAAATCGGTATATATTGCTAATGGGGGTGGTAGTGGAACATTACCCCCAAAATATGACCTCATTGTTTTATGCTTTTTATTAGCATAAATCTAGAGTTGTGATTACTTGCCTATTAGATGAGATCTTTTAGTCCAGCAATAACATGTTTTTAACACTAAATATGGATATTTAAGAATATGTTATTCAGGGCCGGAGAGACAGCTCAGTGGTTAAGAACACTTAACTGCTCTTGCAAAGGACTGGCATTTGGTTCCCAGAACTTACATATAATGGCTCACAGCCATCTATATGTAACCCCAGTTCCAAGGATCTAATGTCTTCTGACCTCCAGGGTCACCGGACACAAGTGTAGTACACATACATACATTCAGAAAAAAAAGAAAAAAAAAAACTTATACAAAAGAAAAAATAGTCAATATAAAAAATATTATTTTCAGAAAAGAATACATTAATCTACACAGATTTAAATATTCCCTCACCACCAATGTTTTAGGATTGGAAAAGTATTTAGGACGTGCAGCTCCCTTTATCTATGTTTTTCTTTTACCAGCTCATTATAAATTAAGTTTTAAAGTATATTGCATGTCATTATTACATTTACCAATTTGAAAGTCCATGCCCCATGTTTATTTCCTGGAGAACACATGTTCTTTGTCTCAACCATACTGTTTAAGAAATGCCTATTGATTCCCCACCTTAGCTATAAGAGCTTCAAGCCCCTATAAGAGAGTTGCGTAATGCCACATAACTCAGTACATACTCATAATGCAGTACAAACTCAGACTTGGTGACTGTTAATCTTATTACATCTTTCCATGACTTAGAAGTAGACAGGTTTTAATAAGACTATTTTAATTTTCTTAATACTGTTTGTGCGCCCTTTTCTGAGACGAATTATTTCCAGAAACTTGACAGATGATCCTTGTCTTTTAGTAAGTGATACTAATTACCATTGCTGTCTTTCTGATTTAATCATTATAGATAAAGTCAACATTTCTAGATAAACATCAGCATTTTTGTGCTGTGCTGTGCTGTACTGTGCTGTGCTGTTCATAGTCTTCCTAGAACTTTCATCTTACCTTTAGTTCCTCTTGTGCACAACCTCAGTGTGGGTGTCATGCTACATGTATCTCTCTGATCTAGACAAGTTGCCTGCAGCCAACTTCCTCTTGAAAGTCTCTGCTGTTCGCTGAGGTCATTTTTCAGTCCTCACAGTTGTATCTGAAACATAGCAACTGTTTGTCTCAGATTCCATGGTTACACATGGAACAAGCTCTAAATAATCAGAAGTCTTCTTTGGCCCAAATGAGGGAATGCATACTAGCAGTAGATGTTTGGTGTCCCTCTTTCAACTCTTGTGAGTCATGAACAGGCAGATTTCATCTTGTGAGCTGTCTCAAAAGAGGCGTGAGACCCTTATCACCAGGCGCAATGATTCCTTCAGGGATGTTAAAAGGAGCTTCTGCTTTTGCTTGGACTACACAGCTTTTAAAATACTATGGATTTAAATTGCCAGTAACACTGCCCAGGAAGTTAAGTTACTAAATTGCAGTCACCCTGTGTTGGTGTGGAATCAAAAGAGGAAGTGAAAAACATTTGGCTCCTTCCCAAATGCATTGCTGCTTTGCTAATAATGCATTGAAATTCCTCCTACTCACATCACAGTTTCCAACTCCTTAGAATCAGAGTAACAACATAATCTACTGTATGTCTGTGAAGATGTTTTGATTTCTTTTCAAAACAGCAGTACGCTATTATAGTCTGTGACTGTGTGCCCAGCAGATACCTACTGATCACTTACTCAATTTGAAACACTGTTAAGATACTCTGAGGGGTGTAAAACCACTGCGAATGATGAATACTCACAAGTTTTGGGTGGAAAAAAGGAAGGCTTAGGAAAGCTGAGTAACTGTTAAGTGGTAGAAGCAGACTGGAACCCAAGTCTCCCTTCACCAGGTTGGGTCAGTGTAAATTCTACACATGTCTAAATAAATAAACATGTACTTATAACCCATTCTTCATTTTTTTTATTCCGTAGACATGTCACAGGTCTAAACAACAGGGATTTAATTACTGTACATCAGCCATTTCTTCTCCATTGACAAAATCCATCTCATTAATGACAATTAGTCATCCTGGATTGGACAGTGAGTATACCACTTTTTTAAAAATAAATGTATCTTAACCACTTTTCCTAACATTTTTCTTACTTCAGGTTCTTTTTAACTTCCAAATTTTGTCTGCTTCTTCTTTTGACTAACAGCTTCATACTCAAACAGAAATGCTAATGTAGAGATCAGCTTTCAGCTCTTCCTCTTGCTAAGACAAAAATCTCTTTGATACATATATTGCATTTGTTATATTGTGGGATATAAATATAGTACTTTTGTTTGTTCGTTTGTTTCGAGACAGGGTTTCTCTGTGTAGCTTTGGAGTCTATTCTGGCACTCACTCTGGAGACCAGGCTGGCCTCGAACTCACAGAGATCCGCCTGCCTCTTCTGGGATTAAAAGCGTGCGCCACCAATGCCCGGCATATAGTACTACTTTTAAAAAAGGGCTTTGAAATGGGTTAAAATGGGTACAAAATGACTCTTGCTAGAAAAATACATGGCAAGAAACATTCCTGGCAAAAACAGTGTAAAGAAGCCAGGTGGTGGTGGCCTTCACCTTTGATCCCAGCACTTTAGAAGGCACAGGCAAGCAGATCTCTGAGTTCAAGGGCAGCCTGGTCTACAGAGTGAGATCCAGGACAACCAGGGCTACACAGAGAAATCCTTCTTCTAAAAACAAAACAAATGAACAAAAAACAATGTAAAGTCATTGTATATGTCTTCCTTCCAATCCCCAAATGTTACGATAATTCATATTTTTCCAGAATACTCCCTTTCTTTATCACTCCCCTTCAGAGAGTAGGTGTTTTGTTTTGTTTTGTTTCAGGACAGGGGTTCTCTGTGCAGCTTTGTAGCCTGTTCTAGAACTCGCTTTGTAGACCAGGCTGGCCTTGAACTCACAGAGATCTGTCTGCCTCTGCCTCCCGAGTGCTGAGATTAAAGACATGTACCACCTGGAGAGACCAGGTTTCTTTACCTCTAGATAATTTAATATGTTTCTTTAAAACAAATATACTCTTTATTGTAGGATGTTAACCTTGATCAAATTGACCCAGTATAGACACAGTTTCATTTTTCTCACCTTTTCCTGGGTCCAGGATCCTATCCAAGAACAGAGGTTGAAATGAGTATTAATATCAACAGTAGGCTCCTTAAATCTAGAAATATTTCTCAAGTGATCTCATCCCTGATAAACTTGACAATCCAGTCTGTGCACTCAGAAATGTCAAGCTCAGCAGACAGAACTGATGGACATTTTACTTAAGCAAGTACAAGAGGATTAAGTCTGAAAGTGACTACTGATTGGCTGTCAAGGGTGTACTGACAGTTGGACTCTATAAACACAGGGCATTTGTGAATAAAAATGCTTATAAACATTTTAATTGTGTAAATGTTTGTCACCAACTTGTTCCTTAAGAAACCTTTTTATCATTATTATTATTAAGATTTGTTTATTTTATGTGTGGGTGTTTTGCTTGTATCTGTGTCTGTGCATCACATCTGTGCTGCACCCACAGAGTCCAGCAGGAGGGCACTGACTGAATTTACAGATAGTTGTGTAAGATAGTTGCCATGTGGGTGCTGGAAATCAAACTCAGGTCCTCTGGAAGAACAGCCATTGCTCTTAACCACTGAGCCAACTGTCTAGCTCAAGGAACCTGTTTTAAAATTTATTTTCTAAGAGTAATTACAGTATAAGATCATGATGCAGAGATTAGATCTAAAAGGGAGTAATATACATGTTCTTCACTACACAGCCAGGTATTCTAGAAACTATACACAAGCTCCTGTATGGTATTTTTTCAGTGTCCTCTTAAAATTTCATTCAAAAGAACTGGAGACTAACATAGCTGTTCTTCATTAATGAAAGGTTTTGTTTTACGTCTTGGCTAACTGGAGGTTTAAGCTTGGAATATTTCACAGTAGAGTGATGGCATAAAGGATAATTCTTTTGTCTGTAATCATGAGTACCTTTTTCTGGATCCCAGTGCCTACAGAGCAAGCTAGGCATGCTCTCATGCTTTTCTGTGACCCCAGCATGCTATAGGTAGTGAAGGCAAGACAATTCCTGGAGCTTGCTGCCTTCCAGCCTAGCTAAGTAACATGAGCTCCAGGTTCAAGGAGACATTGACTCTCTCTTCTGGTTTCCTGTGTGTACACACTTGAACATAAATATATACACACATTTTTTTTAAGGATAGTTGGGCCTGCTATTCATCAGTAGAGTTCAGTTCTTGTTGAGCATGCATGAGACCCTTCACCTCCTAAATTCTGGGATTACAAGCAAGCATCATCACACTCAGTTTACAGTCAAATTTTCTTAAAACAGTTTAACTTATGTTTTATGTAAGCACATATAATGGCTGAATGACTCCTTGTTACAGAAACCCTTTACCCTCAGTTCAACTTCAGCAGTTAAGTAGGGATAATGTACTCTAGTTTTAATGTGAATTAAAGCCATTAGTGTACTTCCTGTTGTACAATAAGCATGGAGTTACGTAGTTCACAATGACCCAAAATAGTGCCAAGGTCTCTTTTTCCCTGACTTTTACTTACAGTTTTAGAAACAAGAACATCGCCCATCATGTTGGAAAAGAACCCCAAATTAATGAAAATAATTTGGTCACACAGACAAACAGAGCAAAAGTAACTCAGCAAGGCAGTTTACTTTTATGAAAAGAGAATAGTGACCTTGCCTGGGCAGGCAAGCATATGGGCGCAAAAAGTTCATTTCACCCCCATTGGTGGAAGCTTAACCTTACAATCTGATGTGGCCGGTGTAGCTTTCATATAAGAACAGGCATTTTCTCTCATTCAACTTAGGGTCTTAAGATTCCCAAAAGCCTGATAAAAGGAAAATTCATGTATCCAATTTTTCAGTCCATATTTAGATATCAACCCTTTGCCGTGTATCAAACTAGACAATGGTGAAAAAAAAGACGAACTTACTGATAGTTTCTTTTTTGGCTGTATTTATATTTACAGACACAAGAACAAGTTGAATCTAATGGAAAATAGTAAATGAAGCAACCAAAATAAACACTCATTATTCTGGAAGTATCAGACCTCAGGAATTGGAGAAAGTTTAGACCCAAAGAAACTAGAAAGACAATAGAATCATGTTGACTAGAGAGCTTCAGACCAACCACAAGGGAAATAATGTTGGGAAGAAAAACCTTGCAGGTCAGTAGAAGGTTTCTGCAGGTTTGCAATGCAGCTGTTTCAGAATAGTGATCTCAGGAGAAAAGTTGAAGTTCAAAGAAGCCCAAATGAGGCATGTTGTAAGGATCCAGTGATGGCACCCAGCTTTGTACCTCGAGTAGTTAAGAAGACTTGGCTGGTGAAGGACTAGGAAGAGCAATGCAGCAGGAAAAGACATACTCCCTTTTGTATTTGTTAGGTTTCAGCTGCTTGTAGTGTGTCCACCCATACAGGTGAGCAAGGAGACGAATGAGTCTGATCCTGAAAGGAGAGCTCTACCTTGAAAATTAGAGAGAAAGGAAACCCTAGTATGTTGTGTACATACAGTATGAAGAGTTAGGAGTGAAGTAGGAAATTTGGCATGAGTGAGAAGAGCAGTAAATACTGAACCCTGAGCAACTTCACTGTTAGATGTCTATACACTGCAAAGAAGAAAAACACAAGCTATGAATTACGACTATTAAAAATAGTTTGCTTCTTGTTTTCCAGTCTAACAGGTACATATATTTGGGTGACTTATTAATCTGCATTATAATTTTCCATGTTCATAAATGAATATATAAATAAAATGCATTGTTAGCCAGGCAGTGGTGACACACATCTTTAATCTCAGCGCTTGGGAGGCAGAGTCAGGTAGATTTGAGTTGGAGCCCAGCCTGAAGAAGGAAGGGAGGGAGGGAGAGAGAGAGAGGGAGGGAGGGAGGGAGGGAGAAAGAAAGGATGGATGGATGGATGGATGGATGGATGGATGGATGGATGGAGGTAGATGGATAGATACATAGATAGACTGACAGATAGACATTGATAATTTTGATGGCTTTTCCTGGGATCCTAAAGGCTACCATCATTATCCTGTTTCCACATAGGTTGGAAGTACTTTTTTCTTTGTCTTGGCATAACTTTTGCATGCTCTAATGTCTTTCTGTTAACCTACTTCTCAGCTCAGCAGCAGTTGAAGCCAACAAAGTGGATCTCCTTTTCCGTCAGTGTTTCTCCACTCCTCCTTAAATCTAAAACTCTCTTTTCTTTTGGCTCTTCTTATTCCAGTGATGAGGAGGAGGAGTTGCATAGTAAGTAAGCTAATTTGATGTCTAGTGGTTGTTCTCCAAAGTCTGGCTAGCTTTTAAATATTATAGACTTGCTACTAAAAGAATTATATCATTTGAGGGCTTTTATCTCCTTGTATACTATCACTTGACTTGCATGCCTTTACGAATTGATTTTGATGAAGCCAGATTTTTGTTGTTGTTATTTGTAACTACTAACACTGATTGTTTTGGTGGCCTCCTGGTTCCAGTACAGGTGTCTTTCCAGAATACACTCTCAGGTGTAAGGGGTATATTTTCTTCCACTTCTACCCTTTGTAATACTGAGTGCTTATTTTACAAAAACTTCCTGCTTTATACTTCAGTTTTAATTTCAATAATCCACTTTTCTCTGTCTCCTGGGACAGATAGCTAGGCAATCTATCAATGATACCTAAAAGTTTCTCTTCCAATCTTTTCATATAATTGAAAAACAAAACTATGAGATTAAAATCCATGGATTAAGAAATGGAAGTTAAACATATTTTTTTCTCAATTTTTGTTCTTGTAAAATTCTATTTTATGCTGCACTCCTCAGGGAGTTACGGGCTTCAAATTAATAAGTTCTTAGTAACTCTGGTATGAAAATTTTTGAGAAATCAGTTTTAGTAAACTTGAAATGCAACTGGGTCTTCTTCTATTAGAAGACCTTGACTGCAATTTTGGAGGGCTTCTAGGATACTCTGAAACTTACATTTTTTACTTTTTATGGGAAGACTATTTCTATCATAGCGTAATGAATGATTGTGTTAGAACTAATATTATGAGTGCCTAACATTTATGTCCATATAATTGTCCTTCCATTTGCTGATCTGAAGTAGCAGTGATGTATAAAAATTATTGTGGCCACCACTTTGCATTGTCTCTTAAAGGAAAGTGTCTTTGGCAGAGAGATATGGTTTAGTTTTAAATGGTAGCCTCATTGATGTTCAGTGTATTTTTTGCCATTAAAAGATACTTGACAAAAAAACAATGAGATATTTACATTTTATCCCTTGTACTGGGCAGAAAGGTGCAAAAACCCACCTCAACTTTGATTGTTCAGAAGTTCTCAAATCTCTTTGGTCCAAAAGTTTGGTAGTACTATAGCAAATAGCCAGGTTATGATAACAAACGAGAACCTCAGTAGAACTTCATTATCGCTGGAAACAAACTGTTATGGTCTCACTAGAATCTTAAAAATATAGAAGCAGAGGAGTGTTCTGAATGCAGTGTCTAGCATTTCTTAAACTGTTCATTCAGTCCAAAAATACCAGTGAGACTAATGGGGAGAGAGTAGTCTTAACACATTGAGAAGCTCAGTTAAGCAGCTTTAAAGTGCTAATTCACACATTGGGGTGTCCCAAAGCAGTACTTGATATGCTAAACTTCCCAAATGTTTTAATTAGGAAACCATAATAATGAATAAGACCATCTATGCTCCATGAGACTCTTGTTCAATATAACACATTTTGTTGTTTGTCTGTTCAATGATTGCAGCTTCAAATCCCTGGACTTATAGTTGGTCTGCATGTTATTTTGTGTCTTAAAATAAAAATCTGGTTGAAATGTTATTTATCTGCAGTAATATTTAATGGGTTAATGACAGGTTTATTTTCTTCTGTTTATAGTTTTGTCATGGAAATCACCCATGTTATTGCATACTTTGAAAGTCTCCTCACTTCAGGAATTTCAGAGCCACTAATTTTGGTGGCAGTGGTAAATTAATCCTTTTTTTTTTTTTCAGAACCACATGTAAGAAGTCATAGTAACTGAAATAAATTATTTTCCAGTAATAAAACCATTAGGAACTCTTAGAGGTGGGGCCATAGATTCTCTTGCTACCTAATCACATAGGTATTTAGTTTTTAATCTATTCCACAGAAATCAACTAGTAGTTTTGGGGTTTTGTTTTTTTGTTTTTTGTTTCTTTTCTCTTGGCCAAGTTTTTTGTTGGGTATTTTTCTGCAATAGGAATTTGACTTTTACTTTGTATAGTTTACTAGAATGGTAATTTAGTGGGTTGCTCAAGTGTACTGTGAAGTCCTGGCAGTCTAGGAGAACTCAATGAGAACTCAATGCTTATTTCATTGAGGTTCCTGGGTGGTAAAAGTTAAAAGCCACTGTTTAACACAGGCTCTTGTGTTAAAGTTAACTAAGGTTTCATAGGTTAAAATGTTTACAGTTACATAACTAAATTTTGCAGAATTGGGAGCCAGATGCTTCTTTCCAAGCAGTTGTTACCAAACACTGTAAATGTAATAGAAGAAACCTGTATTGGTTATGGTTTCTATTGCTGTGAAGAGACAACATGAACGTGGCAGCTCTTATAAAAGAAAATATTTAATTGGGTGACTTACAGTTTCAACAGTTTAGTTCATTATTATCATGATGGGACATGTTGGTGTATAGGCAGACATGGTGCTGGAGAAGGAGCTAAGAATCCTACATTTGATCCACAGGAAGTGAACTGAACTAGGCCTAGCTTGAGCATAGGAAACTTCAAACCCTGCCCCCACAGTGACATGTTTCCTCTAGCAAGGCCAGACCTGCTTCGACAAGGCCAAACCTCCTAATAGTGCCACTCCCTATAAGCTTATGGGGGTCAATTACATTCAAACTACCATATTCCACCCCTGGCCCCCACAAGCTTGTAACCATATCATAATGCAAAATGCATTTAGTCCAACTTCAAAAGTCACCATAGTCTATCACAGTCTCAACAATGTTTAAAAGTTCAAAGTCTCTTCTGAGAATCCTGCAGTTTCTTAACTGTAATCCCTCCTAAAATCAAAAAGCAGATCACATACTTCCAACATTTAGTGGTACAAGATATACATTACCATTCCAAAACATAGGGAATGGAACATAGTGAGGAAATACTGGACTAAAGCAAAACAAAAACTAGCTGGGCAAACTTCAAACTCTGCATCTCCATGTCTGATGTCAAAATATTCTTCAGATCCTTTCAGCTTTATTTGACTACACACACTTCTTTCTCTTGAGCTGGTTCTACTCCTTGCTAGGAGCTTTCTTCAGCAGATATCCCATGACTCTGCCATCTTTGATTATTCTTAGAGTCTTCAAGGCAATTCAGACTTTTCCTTCAAAGCTTCAGACAATGGCCTCTCTGGGCCTCCATTCAGGGACACCCCTGACACTTGCCTGACCTCAACGGTTTTCCTTAGTTGTGGAGAAATATTCCATATCCCCTTTCTTCTGTCTTTGACGATAAAGCCAGAACCACGTGGCAAAAGCTGCCAAGTTATGCTGCTTGCTGGGGCTGGAACACGGCCCCTTTGTTCAATTACATGTTTACCAGCTTTCTGTTTTCAGTTGTTTCCTTCACTGCCTAAGCCTGACTGTCCTGAAACTAGATCTGTAGACTGTGTTGGCTTTGAACTCAGAGATCTTTCAATTACATCTTCATCAACTTTCTGTTTCTGATGGTTTCCTTGACTGCCTAAGCTTAACTGTTCTCAAACTTGCTCTGTAGACCAGACTGTCCTCAAACTCAGAGATCCATCAGCCTCTGCTTTCCCAGTGGTAGAATTAAAGGTGTGTATCACCAACCTGGCTCTAAGCTTTTCTTTAATTCTTTTTCACAAGTTGAAAACTTATCTGGGTGAGATCTTGCCCTGGGGTCACACTCCTTTATTCCACTTCTTAATATATTTATCTCCTTGAACACAGGACTTACTTCTATTCCACTTCCTGGTGGTCTTTTTCTCCTCAGATTGTACATTTTGTATTTTTCTTTACTGAGCTTGTTATTTTTCATTATAAATCTTTATAAGCATGAACACTAGTAACCCCACTGTAGCCTCAGGCAAACCCTTAAGACAAGGGAAAAAAGCAGCCACATTCTTTCCCAAAATATCACAAGAACAATATCTAGGCCATATATTAATATTCTTCTCTGAAATCTCTTGAGCCAGGCCCCCACAGTTCATCAAATCACACTCATCACCACTGTCTTCCATGCTCCTAATTTGGCCCAGTAAGCAGCACTTGTGTTCAGCTGGTTTTCTAATCCATGGTCTCAGGGCCCATACTCCTTCAAACAAAAACATAGTCAGGCCTGTCAGAGCAACACCTCAGTCCCTGATACCAATTTCTGTCTTAATTAGGGTTTCTATTGCTGTGAAGAGACATCATGACCACAGCAACTTATAAAGGAAAATATTTAATTGGGTGACTTACAGTTATCATGGCAGGACATGCGGGGTGTAGGCAGACACGGTGCTGGAGAAAGAGCTGACAGTCCTACATTTTGATCTTTAGGCAACAGGAAATGAACTGAACTAGGTCTAGTTTAAGCACAGGAGACCTCATAGCCCACCCCCATAGTGACACATTTCCTCCAACAAGGCCACACCTACTTCAACAAGACCACACCTCCTAATAGTGCCACTCACTATGAGCTTTGGGGAGCCAATTACATTCAAACTACCACAAACCCTAAGTTGTCAAGTACAGAAAAACAGAAGTTTAAAGATTCCTTTAATGTTCAATTTACTTTATTCCTACCAGTTGGATATTTAAGTTACTCAATATAATAACAATTGCAGTATCAACTATAATTTTATATTTAAAATATAGGACAGATTTGAGGTTAACAGATTTTAAAATGACAGTAATGTCATTGTGGAGCATCTTCAAATCTCTCTCAGATTCAGGTTTTACTCATAATAACCTCAGAGGCTCTCAAAACTGGCCTCAAAGAAGAAAGTGGTGTGTTTTCTCCACGTAACAGTAGTTAGTTATATAGTAATTAGGTATCGGCTATTGTACTAAAAATTGAAAGTCATTCATCTTTGTGATTGAAGCTTTGCTCGCTTCTAAATTCCCAATAGCAGTTCAAATTATTCTTGTTTTAAGTTTTTTATTCATTCCTCTATTTAGCCATACTAATGTGTTTTATAGAGAATTAATTCCATTGTTCCCTTTTTAATTTACCCCCTGCTACCTCACTTAGTCCTGGAATTTTAGTAACCTGGCTCCATTTCCGCTAAAGGATGAGGAAGAATGCACCTGCCCCATTCATTTTATCACTGACAACCAAAAAAAAAAAAAAAAAAAAAAAAAAAAAAAAAAAACTTAACAATCTGGTTCCCCTCTTCACAGTTGAGGAGCTGATCTGGAGAAGTCTTTCCCACACCAGAGGTGGTTCCAGGGCTTTTTGAGGCAGCTCTTTGCTCCGTGTCCAGGAATTCTCAGCAAAATATCAGACAATATCAGACTATTCAGATGAATATATTTACAAATGGGATCAAGAGTAAAAGATGTGTAACATTTTTGTTCTTCTTTTATATTCTTTGATAACATCTCAGAAGGATGGCCTATGGGAACAGAGCATTCATTAAAAACAGAAACTAAATGTGTTCCACCTGTATTTAAGCATAAAAGCTACTATTTTCAGTTACTCGGATCTTGGATTATATTTGCTTTCTTGAGAAATTCACTCCCTTGCCTCCTATTTCCAGTCTAATTTGAAGGTTTCCAGTTTAATTTCTCCTCCTTCTAAACTTTTTAAGGAAGAGGTACCATGTGCTGACTTTCAAAGACTTTGTGATTTTTATATGTGAATCTGTAGGTAGTTTATCTGTCATCAGGACAAGATCCTTGTGTGCTAATGTTACCTCTACTGTTTTTGTTTTCTAGATGCACGGCCTTTCCACAGTACCAGTGCTAACCTGACTGAGAGGTAAGATGCATTTATTTTCTTATTCCTTTTCCCAAAATGAAATGAAGACAATACAAGCTATCTTACCACATTTAATTTGAATATCCTAAGTTCTTTGAGCTCACCCAGGTTCTGACTTCCTTGACTGGCAAGTTCAAAATAATCACAAAGTAGTGTTTCATAATGAAGGCTTTGTCTTATAAAATACACTGAATCACTTTATACTCTTACTCCTTAGATTTTCTTTATGGTAAAGATGGTTATTTGCTTTCATTCACATAAAATATACTTATTTGACAATATAAATTTAAGTTACTTGGCTTATGGAGATTTTCAGCTTTTGAATAAATTTAATATTTGGCTTCATAATGTATGCATGTGTGTAGTATATATATGTGTGTGTGTGTGTGTGTGTGTGTGTGTGTGTGTGTGTGTGTGTGTGTGTGTGTGTGTGCTGTACATGTGAATTATGCAATGCTGATACCTTCTTTGCCATTTTAACTTAAAGCCGAGGGTTGGTGATATACTTCAGTGGTTGTGCTTAGCATGCATGAGGCTCTGGTTTCTATCCCCACTCAAACAAAGAAAAGCTGTGTGTAGTATATACCTCTGTCCATGGAGAATTGAGGTTTTCTTTTCTCTCCTCTCCCCATCTCTTTGATTTCTAATACTGAGGAACCGCCCAGGGATTTGTGCATGCTAGGTAAACGCTTTCCCATTGCACTTCCTTCCAACTGGGATTGATTCTTTACTTGACAACATGCACAAATCCCTATCATTTCTATTTCCCTGTATATGCTTATGAAATTAAACGTTGTGATTCAGTGTCATTAGATTTCTGGTGATTTTAAGTTGCCCTCCTTTTCACAGAGACTTTAGTTATGATTGTGATCTCAAGCCCTTCCAGTGATTGTTGCTCTTTATGCTGCTTTTCTCTTCAGAATGGACGTCTTTGTTTATAACTGTCACATATATATAAATATGACTGTTAAGAGGGTCCTTTTGTGATTCTACTTACAAAATGCACTCTCAGAGGCTAACACTACTGCCCTGTGGGATGGTGCTAAAATGACTGTTGTAAAATAACCAAACAAATAGATTAGATGGATTCTTTGTTTTTGTAATATTTATTTAAGTCAGTATTCTTTAAGGAAATCGACTGTTATAAATTTCCTAAAGTCAGATTATGTCCAGACTTCTTGAACGAGTACATCAGTAAATTTGGATCTGTAGGAATCTCTGTAATGAATCTGTCTACATTCTGCCTGAAATATGCTTATTCTTCATCTCAAAGTTTTACATAGCTTCTTGGACCAGTCCATAGTTCATTAATAGGCCTAAAGACTAGAAGAGATGTGTGCCGCTGCTGTTATAGGCTTTTTCCTTCCCTAAGATTGTGTTTTGCCGGCTTTCTCAGCACACCCCCTGCCACTCCACTGTGTGCATGGATGTCCTTTCAAGCTAAGAAGTTGGTAGCCCAATGCTGTTTTATACTCAGTTCCAGATTTTTTTTTTTTTTTTTTTTTTGTATATGAGACCATTCAGTAGCCTCCACCTGCTTTTTACTCAGCCCACTATTTAACTTTTCTAGTTACAAAAAAAAACATCATTTTTTTGTTTTCATTCAGTATAACAGAAGAAAACTATAATTTCCTGCCACCAAGCCCCTCAAAAAAGGATTTTGAAGGGAAGAGTGGGACGAAAGTTAGTCGAACCTTCAGCTACATCAGGAATAAAATGTCCAGCAGCAAGAAGAGCAAAGTAAGTATCTCCTGGGCATTCTCTGTGTGATCACCTCAGTCACTCACCACTGCATATAAACAACAGGGATAAATGAGAATAATTTCAGAGGTACTTTGAAACAGTCCCCCATGCCTGGAGAAAAATAACAATAATGCAAGCAGCAGCTAGAAATGCTGCCACTGTTTTACTACACACAAAAAGTTGCCCATGCATCAATTTACTGCACCCTTTCACAATCCCTGCTGGTGTAGGTCTTACCCCTTCCTTTAAGGGATGCCTGTTTAACGTGGGGAAGAGATTCAACCCCAATCTCTCTGACCTCTTGTCCCACACACTGAACCTCAGCAGAAATGATTAAATCAGGTTTAAAATCCAATGGAAGGACTTTATGTTGAGATTAAAGCATAAATGAAATATATATAATAGAAATAGAGGGGAAAATTATGCTTCAGAAAATTACAGGAACTTTTAAGACTTACTTAGATCTATTTCTATTTAGGAAGATTTGTGGTGTATCCTCTTTAATAATTGGAAGTTAAATTAAGATCTTAAACTTGGACTGGAGAGATAGTTCAGTGGTTAAGGGCACTAACAGCTCTTCTAGAGGACCAGAACTCAGTTCCCAACACCTATGTGATGGCTTACAGTGACATTTCAACAATTTAGTTGTAGTTGCTTATTCATTACAGAATTCTATAAAATACAAAAATTAAGAAATAAATCTATAAAAACCCCATGTATTCTCACTACTTTGACTTGTGTTTTTAGTACTTTTGTGATATGTCTTTTGTTTTCAAGACAGGGTCTCATTATATAGCACTGGCTGTCCTGGAATTCACTCTGTATACCAGGCTGGCATTGAACTCCCAGAGATCCACCTGCATTTGCTTCCTGAGTACTGGAATTAAAGGCCTGTGCTTCCATCATCCAACTGTGATATGTCTTAAAAAGAAAGAACTTTTTTATACTGACTTCTGATCCTAAACTAAAACGATTTTCATTTCAAAAAAGTGAGGGAAACACTAACCCACCATGTACCCTGCACTCTGTTTACTTACCTGTAACTGTCTATCTACATACACAAAGAAATAAGCATACAAAGGTATAATCAGTTATGGACCTCTTGAAATGAATCACTGAAACATATCTTTGTACATTGCATGTATAAGTATATGCACATAAGCACACATGTGCACACATATATACTGAACTCAACAGCATTCTGATAAAAATGTACCCTCTTAATAGCAACTACACGCCTCATGCCCAGTAGTAGTTGGCCAACCCAAAATGAACTCAGTGGTATTTTTGTTTAATTTTCTTTGTTTTGGCTTTTTTTGTCTTACTGTTCTTTTGCTTATTTGTTTTGATTTTCATTTTTGTGGTTTTTTGGGATTTCTTGAGGTTTGGGGGTTTTTGGGGTTCGGATTTTTTTTTTTTAAGAGAGAAAGATAAGAAAACGTAACAGTTGGGGAGGTAGGGAAGTAGAGGTGATCTGGGAAGAATAGGGGAACGAGGGAAAAAGGTGATCAAAATACATTTAATTTTTTTCAATTTAAAAAAATGTGCCCTTTTTTCTCTAAGCCTTCAGGCACTCAGTTATGTGAGCTGATAGAAATACAGCCAATAAATGTTACTGGCTGTGCTAGCTTTCTGTTACTGTAGCAAATTATCTGATAAAATCAACTCTAAGGAGGAAAGGTTTACCTTGATTTCAGAGGTGTCTGCCTGTGTTCACCTAGATAGTGAGTACCCCATGGTCAGAGCATCTGCAGGAGGGCAAGCAAAGAGAGAGTAAGGGGCCATGGCTCCATAATCCCCTTCAAGGGCACACACCTCAGTAAGTTCCTTCTAGTGGGCCCTTTCCTCCTGCGTGTCTCACCATCTGTACACAGTGTTATGTATGGGGAACAAGAACCTTTGAGGTACATTTACTATCCAAGCCATGACACCGGGGTTTGAAAATAATTTTTTTTTCCATGTACAAAGGTTTGGTCTTTACTCTAAGGGATCCCCCACCCCCAATAAAACTCTTATACCAAAATCTGCTTTTTCACCATTTTTCTTACCAAGTGCCAAATGAAGACACAATCTTGTAAATAATTTCTAGCCTAGTTACGAGTTTACATATTGGCTTCATTCTTAGGCTTGTATTAGAACTAAAATATATGGGGTGGGATACATCCCAGTATTCCTCATCCCAGTATTCCACATCCCAGTATTCCACATAATGGCAACAACAGAACCTACATATTTTGTTTATCTTGCTTGCTTGGTCAGTAGTTGCTATGAACAAAAGAAAACTCCTTTGGGAAAACCAGCATAAACTAGCCATATATTTGTGAATGGCCTCTCTGCTTAGTGATCTGTAATAATCAGTCTTAACCTTGAAAATGCTATGGTCTGGTTTGATTGAATTCAAGATATTTCTGGGTTTTTTTGTTTTGTTTTGCTTTTAAAACTGTGGAGTCTTATCCAAACACACACATATAATTATAAGACCAGCAAGTCAGTAGAGATTCTCTTCGATCCACCTCTCCAATGGCATGGCTTTTGAATCCATGTGGTGGGTATGACACTGAGTTTGCTGAGGGGGTAATGCAGACAGCAAAAAGATAGTGTGGGTCCAGATGCAGAAACTGGAACTTGACCTTTAAAACAGAATCTCACCCCAACTTCCGTACTCTTCAGACTTGAATAAAATGTGTCTCAAGTAGTCAGATTAGATAATACCCAGGCAGGGCTGCCTGTGGTCCGGCTCCCCACAAGTGATGCCTGTCATTGTGTGCTTCTCTTCAGCCACATCTATCACTTAAGTAGTTTCTTTTTCCTTTTTCTTGAATATTTTTTAACCTCCAATTACTAGCATTAGGTAAGAGGTAAGGGATGAGATGGGACAGGAAAAAAAAGGCTACCTGTGTTAGAGTCAGTCTGTCATCGCTGTTAAAGAACCAGTTGACCTCTTGCCTCCGCTCCTCTCCTTAGGCAAAATGACCAACACTCTTTTGCAATTGGTGTGGTTCCTCTTTCAGAATTGGCTTCAAGATTTGATCTTTGGGGGCTATACTGTCTCCAGCAATGGAAACTCCAAAAATTGCAAATTCATAGCTCCTCAGAGTGTAGTACTGTCCTTTTACCAGGTGTTTGCAAGTGCCCCCAAAGGCCAGACATGTTAACATGTCATCTTTCCAGTTAGTGCTTGCAGGCTAACTTTTTTGAGATAGGGTTTCTCTGTGGTTTTGGAGGCTGTCCTGGAATTAGCTCTTGTAGACCAGGCTGGTCTCGAACTCACAGAGATCCGCCTGCCTCTGCCTCCCGAGTGCTGGGATTAAAGGCGTGCGCCACCACCGCCCTGCTTGCAGGCTAACTTTTAAGTTAAACTGTATGCAAGCTGCTGAAGAACATTGTCACTTTGTCAATATAGGCAGAGGTAATGAGAAAGAAATAACCATATATCCAATCCAATGTACAGATAAATGAGTATCAATGTATTGTTTTTCCTATTGAATGTTTTACATGTTATTTTAAAAAAGAAGTAATACCATATATATTAACACTAATTTTTCTATAAGAATGATGAGCTTTCACTTCTTTTTAACCTGTATAGGGTTAATTGTTTTTTTCTTCTTAGTGCTGGGAATTGAATACAGGGCCTTGCACATCTTAGGTCAGTACTATAACCACTAAAGTGGTTACAAGTGCTGAGATTATTAATTTTTTAATATGTGTTAATGAGAGTATCTAATTTTTCTTGTAAACATACCTCCTTTTAAAGAAAAAAACTTAAGCATTTAATGAATGTTAGATTAAAATAATACATACAAATTGCATGCGAGTATAGTTAGAAAAATTTCTGTGTAAACATTGTGCGTGTATCTGAGAATTCAGTTATAAACTTGGGTTTGTTGTTCCATGAGTTAAGCTGTGACTGCTGACAGTCTTTAGACACTGAGAGTAGCCAGAGTTAGCTATTAGACAGGGAATAGTCCACATTCCTAGATAATGTGTTGCCCAATGTGCCAAATTTTTGTGTATGTAGCCTTTATTGTATAAGGGGTTTAGTTACCAATCCTGCATATGTACCTTTCACAGTCATCAGTAACTTGTAGAAGTTTCAAGATATATATACTGAATGCTTTTTAGAAAACTGGAAGATCTAAACAGGAAGTACAAGAGGAAGATGGGCAGTTTCTCCTTTTTTGTAACTGTTTTCTGCTCAGTAAATTGTGTTTATTATATACATAATGCTTACCTTCATAAAGAGAGTGGTATTTAAGTTACTGATTATCTCTTCCTATCAAGCTCTTATTTTTACAAGAACGACTAGAAGACACTGGAAATATTTTAGACCAATTCCTAGTATGACTCAGATTTTTTTCTGAGTAAAAAGGATTAACTTCCTCCCCAGCTGATACACTGTCTAACTTTATAGTGAGATGTTCAGCCCCAGTCCCTAGTGTCTATGCTTGTGTATGAAAGAACTGTGCCCATCATCCCTTCCAAGATGCCTGATCACATTAGCTTTTCATAGTTGTCCAGAGTACCCTGACTTCTAAAAGGAGCAGTTTAGGAAAATGAAAACTGATTTTCTTTGACAGCACCCTAGTGTTGTTGTGATCAGTCACTTCTATTTTTAAATGTCATTAGATTCTTTTCCCACAGTACAATTAAAGCATGTTGGCAGTGGTTAAATATAGATACATTAAAATTAAGAAAAATAACCAGTCACCCATTTTACCATGGGCGACTTTACTAAAATATTTTCATGTAAAACTTTGCTTTTTTATTAGGAGTTTGCTAGATAAGTGTGGCCTCTTTCCTTGCCAGATTTCCCATACTATAGTGTAAGTGCTGTCCATACATGTATTTGAGAGTTACTTCATTTTTATTTCACTTCCTGTGTTCTTTAGAGTGGGGTAGTTAGCTTTACCGGCAGCATTCAAATAGTTAAGACTGTCTCAAGGAAGCAAGCAGTCTCAACCCTCCCCTTGAGGGCTTTCTCAACCAGTTTCTGGCTTCCTCTTATGGTTTTGCTAATGGCAGCTCTGAGCTACTGAGAGGTCTGCCGTGCTGGCCATGAGTGCCTCCTTCTGTGAAAGATCATTTCCTGGCATGGAGGTCAAATCATGTCGGTAAAATGGGGTCGGCTTCCCGAAGTTCCTCTCATAACAGTGCGATTCACAGGACAAAAACATGGGCAGGTAAGAGCCCGACAACTCTTCAAAGCACTGGATTAGAACAACAGGAGGCTGCAGTGCAGTTTGTTGTTTTGTTTTTGTCCTTGGAGGAACTAGTCTGGATTACTGTAAAGGGTGAGAAAATGGATTATTCAGATCTGAAGAACATTACAATTCTTTAGACAGTAATGCAGCTGCCATAGAGAGTTGTGTTGTTTGACATTTTCCTTTAAGCCATTGGATCATGTTTTAACCTTCAGGCGAGGGGGGGGGGAGTCAGATGGTTTTAAAGTTAACAATTTATGCATAGAGAAATCTGCAGCAAAAAATTAAAAGGGATTATTTGGATATGCTCAAGGTTTGGTAATTCGAGTTCTACACACTTTAGCAGTTACTAATTTTTGTTCAGATGAGTTTCCTGTTTTGTAAAGTGGTTTTCCCCCCATCCTTTCTGTTGTTTATAGGTTTAAGATGCTGCAGTTTGGCGTTTGGGGTTTTGCTATATGTATTCTGTTAAAGGGAGAATTTTGCATGAATCATAGATTTTACAAATAACCCATTTTATCCATTGGGTAGGTTTTGAACTTAGAGAAAATTAGAAGATTTAAATCCTGTTTGGTGCTGATCATTGCTTTGTGACCCTTTGCAACTCAGGGAGCCTCAGCAACCCTTTTCAGTAAGTGTGGTCAGTGAGAACTGAGCACTTGTCATCCGGAACTGCACCAGGTCCAGTTTAACACTTGTGGCTCTGTGTTTGAACTGTAATTCATTACCCTGTCCCAAGAAAGTTAACTATTCATCGTTTTAAGTGTCATTCATTATCTTCTCTTGTAAAATGGGAAGCATGATACCAATCTGCCAAAGCAATCTACTTAGATAATCCCTACAAGTGGCATTGCCACTAGTGGTCAGCATGGTCACTCACTTTGAGAAACTCACTTCTCGGGTATTTTGTTTGTTTGGTTGGTTTTTAGATTGTAGTCATAGTATAAAAGAGTAGGTAAAGCTCACCTCTGTGGACTGGAGGTCTTCGTGGTCTAGTTGTAAAGGAATTGATATATTAATCTTGTTAGTGAACTGAGCAGCTAATGTAGTGGCTAGGCCTGTAGTAAACATGTGGTGAATGTCAGTTTCCTATTCCCTCTTACAGAGCTGAGAGGCAACCGTAACAAAACCTTGCAGTGGAAATCAAAGACAGGTCTCAGGAAGCCTTGTTCTTCCAACCAGAGACAAGGCCTGCTTTTCCTGTCTCACTGGGCTTTGGGGCAAGCAGCTGAGCCTTGGGAATTCACTGTCCCAGGTCACCAGACTTTTGAGAGGAAATGAGTGCTGTAGTGATCAGCTTGAGGAGACAAAGGTGGTGGTTGGGAAAGGCTATTGACAACGCTTCTTCTCGTCTTTTCTGTACCTCGTATTTCCCCTGCACCAGTGTCTTTACTGCTGCTCCTGAGTTATTGTCTCCTCCTACCTAAAGTCAGAATGTCCTTTCCTTCACTACAAAAGATTGCACTTTTGTGTTGTTAGAGTAATAAGCTGATGATACTCATTTTCAGTGAGGTGTGAAAAATTACCATAATGCATTAAATATTATACTTAGTATAGCTAGGCCTTAACAAAAACAAAACTATAAAGTGGGTACCTATCTCATTTTGCAAATAAAAAGCCTGGGGCTCAGAGAAATAATTTGCCCACAGTCCCACCATTAGTAGAACTTAGAACTGACTTCATGCTTAACCCCTGTGCAGTTTTTAGCACTCTGTCACCACTGAACACTGAACCAAAATTAATATCTGGTAACCTACTGAGTTCTAAAAATATATGTAAAATATATGTGTAGGATTATTTAATAGTTCTGATTAGAGTAGGGAAGAAAATGTCATGGAGACCCATCATTCAGGGACATACAAGTGCTTGTAAAATGGAGAGAGGAACCTAACAGAACTTTTTAGACTTTGTGACATTGTTTTTCTCCCTCAGACTGAACCCAGAATTGCCACCATCCACCCTTCTGCTCCCTTTCTAAACTGTTCTAAATTCAGTGCTTCCTATGTGGACTGTGCCATACCTTACTGCTGCAGGCTCTGCCCCATGTCTATTAGTGTAAACAGCCCCTGATGACTCAGAACCCCTAAGTCTTTCTGATGGGAGCTTGCATGATTGAAAATTAATAAAATGTTGCCCAGAGCATTGTTCCTCATTTCTGTCCACAATAGATACCATCCCCTGTTGACCACATGCCATCAGTGTGTTCAGGTAAGGGGAAGGTCTTCCAGTGCTCAGTTAACTGTTGATTCTTTTCTTTGGCAGGAAAAGGAAAGGGAGAAAGATAAAATTAAGGAGAAAGAGAAAGAATCTAAAGAGAAGGAGAAAGATAAGAAGAATCTTAATGGGCACGCTTTCAGTCCCATTCCTGTTGTGGGTCCCATCAGCTGCAGCCAGTGCATGAAGCCTTTCACCAACAAAGATGCCTACACTTGTGCAAGTAAGAGACATGCTTCTTTCTTTCAGCAGATGAGGCTCTCTTGCTTCAAGAAAGCTAGTTTGTTTCTAGTTTCCTGTGCATCCCACCTGTGATCTGTTCCTCATTAATGTGGAGAAGTAACTCTATGTGTTCTTTTAATTTTAATTATGTAACTTACAATTTGTATTTTTTTTCAGATATCTCTAATATCAGATTCTCTGCTTAAAAACCACCACCTATCACCAGAAACCTGGCAAATCAAAGTAGTGCATAACCTCGAACCTTAAAGCTTCCCCAGATCCTTTGTCAGATCATATACAGTTATTTTTATATTCTGCCCCCCACACCCAGAGAGAGAGAGAGAGAGAGAGAGAGAGAGAGAGATACATGCATGCATATGCAGTTTAAAGATTCAAACTCAGGACCTGATATAGGAAAGCAGTCTACTCCCGAGCTTACCCCCACCCCAGCCTTTGTGTACTTGTTTTTAAATCTGGTCCTTTGGAACATGATCCAGCCATCTGCCATCATTAAATCATGATGGCTACCAGAGGAGAGTGTCTGCATGTGCACGTATGCCCATGTTTCTGTTTTTGATCTGCTGAAAGACAAGTCTATTAACTGAGCATGGCTCTGCTTTTGATAAGACATTCTCAGCAAGAGACAGTTGCCTTTCTCTGTACAGGACTTAGATAACAAGTGTCTGTGTCACATCCACTGCATTCTACAGTTGCAACACAAAGGCAGCCATAGATAAATCAACAAGAATGGCTTTATTCCAGTAAAATTTCATTTACAGACACTGACATTTAAATTTTTGCATGCCGTGTCATTTTCATCTTTTCAATTCTTTTTCAACCATCTAAATTATAAAAGCCATGCATAGCTCATGAACTCTGCAAAATCAAGCAACAGGCCAGATCTGGCACACATAATGTAATTTGCAAATCTGCTCTACAGCGGTATTTCTCAAAAATTGTGTTAGGGCACATGTAGAAAGTAATTGTATTTGTAAAGAATGTCAAGGTATAAAACCAGGAAGCTGCTTTGTTCAGAGGTGAGCCAGCCAGGAATCAGCCACCACAGGTCTAGCACAGCTAGGAGGCTGTGGTGCTTTGTCTCATGTTAGCCCTGCACCACATGCAGACCAGACAGTGCTAACTCATACTCTAAGCAGCCAGTCTCACACCTGATAGGATGACCTCCTGTTCTCAGTCATTTATTGTGCATTCCAAGTAATCTGTTACTAAAAATAGTTAGTTTACTGGAATTGGAAGTGCTAAAAGTTTATACGGGCAGATTCAAAGTTCTGTAATAATTTTGGCTGTCTTACTTTCTTTAATTAAAAAAGGGGGGAGGGTGAAGGTACAGCTAGCAAAGACCCTGGAACCTGTCTTACCTGTGACACAGCCATTATGACTTTCATAAATAAATTTTAAAAGGCTTGGTCACATACATTCTTATAAATTTAATGTGAAAGATATGCTATATCCCCTAAAGTAATCTACAGCCCTGTTTATTTTACTCATTAAAGGGAAAAGCACTTACCTAAATCAGTATGCATTCCTTTAGGCAGAGATCACACACATTATCACTGTCCCCCATGTCTGACTTAGCAGAAAATTGAGAACTGCATCACATAGTACTAAGCTTCAGGTAAACTTTATGAAGCAAGAGACTCTATCCAGTGTGTTCAGTATCCCCACAGTGCTTTCCTTTTGGAGCCCAGGGTCTAATAAGTACTCTTTGCCTTGGTGTCAAATGTCAGCACTTTTGGTTTTTGTCTACTGGAAACAGTCCTCTTCTCAGTGCTGCAGTTAATTTAGTTTCCTACAACAGAAGTCAATAAGCACCTTTAAAAAAAAAAAGTTATCTATTTTAAAACATTTTTTAACACATTAACCTGGGGCATTTAATCTTAAAACTATACTTAACAAAGAGTACATTATAAGGATCAAAGTCGAAGGTTTGTCGTTTTGCTTTCTGGTTAACTATTAGTATGATTGGTATTGTCCTTGATCAACAGCTTCTCAAAAGAATTTGTGTATCTGTCTCTTTCATTTTATTTAACATAAAAGCAGGTATCCTCACAGTGTGAAGGCGAGCAGATAAAGAGCAATATTGGTGGTTCGTTTCTTGGGTGGGAAACACCTCTCCTCCCTCAATTCCTATGTATCTATGTAAAGTGAAGCTGCCTAGAATAAGTACCAGTAAGGTACTAGTGTACCAATCTATATATTGACTCTCTTTCTCATTGTAAGAGCTTGTATTAGTTACTTTTCTTGTGACAGAATACCTGACTGAAGCATCATAAAAAGAGTATTTAGTTTGGCTGTGGTTTCAGTCCATTGTGTAGGGAAAGCATGACAAAGTTGGTGGTAACAGAAGTCTGTGGAGGCGGTTTCTCGGTCTTGGTAGATCAGGAAGCAGAGGCAGAATAATTTCAAGACCTTCCCTAGCGACCTGTATCCACCAACTATGCCACCTAGACACCATGTCCCAACGATTCTGTAAGCTCCTAAAACAATGCAACCAGGTAAAGACCAAGTGCCCAAAACATATTGGGAGGGGGGATTCGCATTCAAATGAAAGCTGCAGTGGCTGGGAGTGTAGTTCACTAGAGCACTTGCCTTGTATGGATAACCTGAGTTCATTCCCCATCACTAGGAGAAAAACAGAGCCGTAAAAATTTACTTTTGTGTTTTAAGTATTATTTTGCATATTTCCTCCTCTTCCTCATGAAAGTGCTTTTATTTATTTGGGAGTCACTAATATCAGAAAAATGTTTAAAGCTACCGTTCTTTGAAAAGTTCATACAGTCTATCTTGAACATGTTCACACATTCCCAACTCCTCCCATAATCGTCTATTCATTCCTTCCCACCAGACTAAGTTTTTCTCCCTGCCCCAGTCTAGTCCAATTTGTGTTGCCCAGCTAATCTGACATGTGGTCGACATACCAGGGGTCTCATCATTTAAGAAAACTGATTCTCCCTTTTCCAGGAGCTATCACATGCCAATAGCTTCTCAGCTAGTAGTGGAATTTTGTGCCCATCTTGGCCCATCTATGCAGGATTTTGTCTGGCTTGAACTTCACAGCCTTGTGCATATTGTCAGAATCACTATGAGTTTATATGTGCCTCTGCCCTGCTGTATCCACAAAACTCTGTCTCCTTGAAGTTTCCTACCACCTCTGGCTCTTACACTGTCTGCACCTCCTCTTCCAGGAATATCCCTGAGCCTTGTAGAGAGGGGTGTGGTGTGTATGCTCCATTTAGGACTGAGCACTCCACAGTCACTTATTCTCTGCAGTTGAGAGTCTCTGTTTCTTAAGGCCATAATTCTTAGCTGGCAGTATCAAATTGATGTTCAAGGACTTTCATTGGTAAAGCAGACTACTTTTCTACTATAAAATATTAAAATGATGAGAAAACTATGTACATACATGCACTTACATTTTATTAGTCTGAATTTTTTTGTTATTGTGACCAGAAATCAATGACAAACAGCTTAAGGCAGGAAAGATTTATTTTAGTTCATGGTTTAAGTAGTTTCTGTCCATCATGTAGACTGGCATGGTAGAGCAGAACAGGTCACGTGGTGTCTAGGAAGCAAAGAGAATGCCTCTGCTGCCTGGCTTTCTCCTTTTTTTACTTTATCTAGACCCTACTCTGTGATGATAGTGTTATTAGCCACCTTCAAAGTGAATCTTCCCCAGATTCCTTGTGGCTAATCCTCTTTGAAAAAGCCCTCATAGACACACCCAGAGCTCCTAAGTTGATGACATTAACTATCTCTAGCCTTTATCAAACTGATACCCAGATACATCTCCTTAGATCATAATATCCCATCTGTGGTCCCCAAAGGTTCATGGCTGACTTGTATATAATCCATATAGTCTTAACAGCATTATTCAAAAGTGCTAGGTTTCTTCAGAGACTCAAGGCAAACTCTTAGCTATGAGCTCCTATAAAATTAAAAAGGAAATTTAATATTGGCAATAACAGTGACACAGAGTATACATTGCCATTCAAAAAGACAGGTGCAGCAGAATACCATGAAGGCTTGGACTAAACCAAGATCGAAACCCAACATGGCAAATGTTAAATCATATAGCTATATATGTCCAACATCTGGAGGCACATAATGCTATGATGTGAGCCCCAGAGATCTAGAGCAGATTTGCCCTTATGGCATTGATGTTTATAACTCCATTGGTCTTCTCTTTAGCCTGAATGCTGGGGCATTGCAAAATTTCTTCCACTAAAATTGTTAATTCATCACTTTCAAATCCATCCTCCTTAGTCTCAGGGCTTGCTCAAAATACAGACAAGTTCTCGGCCACAGCTTAAAAGGAAAGGCATTAGTCCAGTTTGCAGAGCTGTCCTTACTCCCTTCAGAAACCTCACCAACAGTCTTCCAATCCCCTTTCCTGTCAACATTCTGGCATTGGCACTCACAACAAAATTACTCACTAAATTATGCTAAAGTATCCGGGAACTCTATAGGGCATCTCCAGAACCTTTGAAATCACATATCAATTCTTAAAAGTTTCTTCTATTACTTAGACTTTCCTCTCCTGACAAATACATGAGGAAAACAACTAAAAGGCAGTGATTATTTATTTTGACTGATAGTTTCAGTCCATCTTCTCAGGAAGGGTGTGTCAAAGTAGATCTGGTCATGTCATGGTGCCAGGGAAACAGGAAAACAATGCCTACACTCAGTAGCTTTTTCCCTTTTCATTTGACCTGCATCCCCAGCCTATGCTATGGTACCATTCACATTTATGGGAGGCCTCACCTACTTAGTAATGTGGAAATGCCCTTATAGAGACCATCAGTGTGTCCTTTCTCAGTCAATCAAGTTGACAGTAAAGAGGCAGAGGCAGGCAGATCTCTGAGTTTGTGGCCAGCCTGGTTTACATAGCAAGTCCTAGGATAGCCAGGGTGTAGTGGCATCTAGCCTTGCCAGTGAATTTGTGTTAGTGGCCATACCCCTTTGGGCATGGCATCAGGTACA